AATGTTTTTCCGGGTCGCGACAGCGGCAGCGGCTCTGCTAGCGCAAGGGTGGTCACAACATTCTGGCATTCGTCACTCCATGGCGGCATTCGAGGCATGCCTGCTGGGCGTCAATGCGGTCGTTGACCCCAGTTGCTGCACGACAATCGTCAATCCAGCACCGGCGTCCAGTTGGGCCATGCGGCAGTTTCCCCACAAGATTGTCGCCGGGGATTTCTCCCCCGGCTTCACCATCGCCTTGGCTCACAAGGTCTGCGTCTGTCGTTGGAACTCGGCGATGAGCTTTTCGGTGCCCGCTGGTGATGGCAGTGTATGTATCAACCTGATGCGCAGGCGCACGCGCCAACGGCCGCGGTGGGAACGATTCTGAGCTGCATGATGCAGGGTGTTTGAGGATATTTGGGAATGGCGGTGCGCCCCAGCCGCCAAAGACCAACTGAGACCAGGCAGCGGCGGGTGGATGGATCAACGGCTTTCGGCTTCTTTCGCAGCCTTGCCAGGGTCCGCCCGGCCCCTCGTGCTACGCGATGACGTGATCGGCCCGGCGGTCCAACCGGCGGCTCGACGTGGCACCAGGGGCGTCCTCGAAAAGCTTGCCGTTCCATGATGGGAGCGCCCTCGATTGAGAACGTGCCTCGCCCTCAACCTTGCTTCTGCAGCAGCATCAGCCCCTCCAGCACCGCCTCCGGGCGCGCGGGCAAACCCGCGATTACCCCCCACACCGTAATGATCGGTCGATTCCCTGCACTGTGGCGTATTCCGGTAAAACCCTCCCGAAGACGCGCAGGGCCCCCGAAGGCGATCACCCACCTTCGTCTCGCACAATCTGATCGTAGACCTCGCTTGATCACCGTGGCTGATCTGTGGTGATTGATCGTGCCCGACCACCATGAGCAGAATCGGATTGCGGGGCGAAAACCCGCGGCAGTTTTCCGCGCCAAAAAGCGGGCAACGTACGTAAGTGCGACCGCCCAGGTGGCCCATGAATTTCCATGCCGCAGCAGGCGGGTCACGAAGGGCAGGGAAGAAAGTTCTTGCGCCCCCCAGTTGATGATTTTGTTGAGTTGCGAGTGATGAATCCGCTTCCAAAGATCGGTTTCCAGTCCCACGGGTTTCCTTCTATTCATATTCGACGCGCGACGAGCACAACGAGATCGCTTCTGTTCCAGACGGATAACCAAGTCCGGCATTGTAACACGACGGGCATGCTGAAGCAAGCCACTGCGAGGCCCGTCCAGTCCCTTGACATGACCCAAGGGGCTTCTGTACAAACCGACGCCATTCATACCGGGGGGGCATTCCTCCTACTTCTTTGCGGAGGACACACTGATGACAATCACGCCGGCTGTTTGACGCACTCATCCTGACCTGGCCCACCTCATTCCCCGTTGTAGCACCCATCCAATCCACCACCAGGAGCCGAAATCTGGGTCTACTCCAGCGGCGCGCATGCGGGACATTCACTGCGATGAATTCATGACGCCTCAGCGGGTGTGGAACATAACGTCGCCACGGCAGGCGGGAACTGACTGGCCTAGGCGGGCGATGCCGCAGATGCATACCCCGCCTACTGCTCCTCGTTACAACCGGTGCCCAGCACCTGCCGGCCACGAGCTGGCGGTAGCGGCTCAGCCGGCCTGACACCCCTCCATCACACCTTCTTCTCCCAGCGGCGGGGCCGAATCGACCTAGAGCTCTCGTTCAAACGGCGCGGTTTTACTGGAAGGCCCAGGGCACCGGACAAGATCAAGATCTTTCGCGCCACCTGTGTTACCAGGCGTCACGATGGCCGCCATGAGCGCCACCGGCATCCCCGATTACTGCGATTTTCGACCGCTGGTGCCCATTTCGTGCACATCGACTCTCCGTATCCGTAATCGGCTTTCCAAGGGCGGCGACTGCAGCACCATCCCCGGACGTGGCGGCGGCCAATCTGCGGAGGAAGCCATCCTCGCGAGGGTCCGGACCGGTGGCGGCGTTATCGCCGCAGCCGGTTCAGGGCGCCGGCGGCGTCATCGTGCCGCAGATGCATTACTTTCCCGCGCATTCGCAAATCTGCGACGCGTATGAACGTGCTGTTGAATCAGCACGACGTCATCACCGGCCTTCGGACGCACCGGCACTGTCGGCCTGGAGCACGGGGGCATCGAGCCGGACATCGCATTCGGCCAAGCATCAACCAGCGGCTGACGTCCGCTCGGCGGTAATCCGGCCGGGCGACAAGTGAAGAGGTGATGCCGACACGTGCCGCCGTCGCAGGGCTGGATGCACGCCTACACCTATTCCGGCCACCTCCGCAGCGCGGTGGCCTTGGCCAACATCGACATCATCGAACAAGACTGGCTGGTGCAGCGGGCCGCCGCGATGGCAATCGCCTGCTCGAATGGCTGCACCGCTGGACGACCTGGACGGCGTCGGCGAGGTGCGCGGCCAGGGCCTCATGAACCACCTCGCCTCGGTTGGTGGCGGACTAGGCCGCAAGGCGCCGTTCCCGGCCTGACGTGCCAATGGTCCGCGCATGCACCAGGAGTGGGTTCAACGCGGGCTGTTCAACCGCGGGACCGCTGCGGGTGAGGTTGTCTGTCTTGCGCCGCTCTGGTGACCAGAGCGCGGAGCAAGTGGATCGCATCGTGGCGATTCTGCACGATGCCTTTCCGTCGGCGGCTGCTCGATGTGTATGGCTTGCTGGCCCTGGATGTCCTGACAAACCCGCTGGCAAGAGCACGCTGGCCTTTACGACACGGGAGCGAGGGGGGAAATTGGGTTATGGCACGAGACGCTGTTTTTCAGCGCGTGTCCGCATGATTGTCCTGCACAACACTGTGCGATGTTGACCACCTTCGTGAGCGGCAGGCGTTTGCGTACGGGCAGCCCGATCATCCGTTTCACTAACTGCGGGGCGGACTCTGCGTCAAGGTCAACGACTACGAAACCGGTCTACAGCGACAACCGGGTGCTCACTCGCGCGGCGCCGCACCGGCGCCAAGGGCGCCGGAGATTCTATCCAGCAGCCGATGCGTCTGGACGAGCTCTCGCAGAGATTTCGGCCGCTGGACGAATCATCGACGCGCGACTGAGCCCGCCGCCATCTCCTAACAGCTACCGGTCGCCACCGAGGTGCATCCTGACGGGCTGAACGCCGCCGACGCGCTTCGTTCACAAGCTCGGCGCGCCCGTGGCCGAGCGCACCTTCTGCTGCGATTCCTGCGCCATCACCCGCCTTCTCATGACCTGCGGCCGCCCGTCTGCGTGCGATCCGCGGGAGTGTTCGTCCACTCCGCTACATCATCCCTGTGGGCGAGCAACACGATCAGCACATAACGATGCACTCACTGGCCGTTCATCGCCGAGCGCAGCGGCGCCGCTGGCGCCAGAGGTCGTGGTCATCCGATCCGTCGCCACACCCTGCCGGCCACCGGACCGCTGGCACTGAGCCTGGGTTGGGAGGCGTGGGGTCGAGGGCCTACCGGATTTTGCTCGGGGCATCAGCCCGTCACTTACGACTCGCCTGGCGGCTCGCATGAGCACCGTCATCATCGCCGAGGATCTCGTCGACACAGCTACTATCGATCGAGAATACAACCGTCGGCTACGAGGACCTGAAAGCCCGCGCGGCCGGCTTCCAGCCGAGCCGAAAGTTGCCGAGCCATCACCGCGCATCTCCGACGACGCGCCCTCGCCGCGATTCGCCACGCACGCAGCCGTCGTCATCCGCATGGTTGCGTCGCCATCGAGCGCAACGCCTCGGGCGGCAACGCGTCCCGCTCGCCATGTCGTGCCTGCCGGACTGGTCGGCTCAGTGCGCCATTGCGGCGGCGGCATCCTGCATATGCCGATCTGGGCCTTCCCGCATGAAATGGCCGATAATCTGAGCCGCCCGATCGGATTCCCGAAGGCACTGCCGGTCATCACAGTGGCGCGCGAGCCCGGCGCTGTCTGGGCGAGCCTCGACCAGAGGAATATCGCTTCGCGCTGTTCGTCTACACTCCACTCCCGCCGGTGTCCGCGCGCGACACAGGACAGAGCTGCGGCGCTCGCCTCTGTCCGCAGACGACCTGTTCACTGGTGGTCAGCGAGCATTTCATCACACGATAGACCAACCACCGGCTCGCTATGCGCGATCGTCTTGCGGCGTACGGACGCAACTACTCGAACAGTTCGACCTCATGTTCTCGTCGGGGCCACTGTATCTAACTACGCTGAACGAGCGCCATCGCACCGCGCGGCCGCGGCGGTGCCGAACACCGAGCTGTTGTCCGCGCTCGTCGCGCCTGGCCTTCGACGATCACTCTGTTCTACTTCTGGTCAGCGCACGGACGAGGACATGGCTCGTGGACGCGCTCGACTGGAGCACCCAGTGTCTCGAAGCATCGGCGACCTCGACGGCCTGCGTCAAGACCGGCTACGCGCTCGCCTCACTGTCGTGCTCGACCGACTGACGTTTCTTTCGTGCCGCACCGCGAGGGCAATTTCCCGACCCCGTCCGCAAGCTCGAGTTCAAGGTCCTCGATGCCGCGGCCGGCATCATGGTTGCTGCGCCCTGTTTCCGCAGGGCTATGTGGCCTACCAGTCTGTCGAGCCGCCTATCCATTGCCCACTTCAATATCCCGCAAAAACGAATCTCCCGATACCAATTCCTTCGCCTGGCGGGCCCGTTCACTACCTACCCCACCACCCTCAACATGATTTTTCGGCCAGAGCCATTCCTTCCTGAACTGTCATTCGGCAACTGCGAACTCAGCTGCATCACGATCACGCCGGCGGCGGGTAATTCCGACGGCGGCGATGTTCGGGTCTTTAATAAACGACCGCGGCGATTTCCACGCCGTGTCGCGATCACCGAAGACCGCCCGCCCAGGTGTCGCGTGGCGCCATGGCTATTTGGGGCAAGGACAGCCGCAACGGTACACGGTGAGAAACGCGATCAACCCGCCGGCTTTCTCGGGTATTATGGCGCCGCTCTCTGCGTTTTCCCGACACCTGGTCGAGGTGGCGGGTGCTGATCGCCGCGGCCGGATGTTATTATGGGTCTCAGCGTACCTGAATCGTCGGTGATGACGAAGGTGAGCGGTAGGAGGTGTGATGTCGTCGCCGGCTCGCAGGCCCAGCACGAGGTGGAATTCTGGCCTTGTAGGCTTTCGAGCCACCGCTGGAGCGTTACCGTGGTGGGACGGAAGGATGAGGCAGGGGACCGAGCACCATTTCGCCGCCCTCGTAAAGCGTCACGGTGAGCGGATTCATACCAGATGTGCCGGTCCATGCCACGAGCGACAAGTCGGCCTGTGCGTGACGGCCCGGCCGCGCGGCCTCCACTTCCGGCAACAGATTGGACGGGGAAGCTGCTCCTCCCGCTTGGAGATATCCGCACTTTCCTGCATACGATGTTGGGCAGAAGCAGGTCGTGCTTCTTCCATAGCGGCGACCGACTACATAAGTCGTGCCCAAATTGCCTCCTCCGCAGCTTCGACCTCTGCACACCACTTCTCGGAGAATTGGTTGCGGTCCGGTGAGGAGTGTCACAATCCGTGGATCGGTGCGGCTGGTTCGTAGATGTCCTTGGCAATGATGCGGGCTTCGAAGAGGTCGAGCCTCGCCCCGACTCCCGATAAGCACGCTCCCAGACCTGGATGCGCTCCCCCGCCACACGCGACGGTCGCATAAAGCGATTAGGCGCCCTCCTAGACTGTCGGCGAAAGCTCATAACTGCTCTGCCTCTTCCATCCCTCCGAAGTCCCAGCACCTTCCCAGTGCACGGTTTCTGATGAATACGTAGATCCGTCCCGCAATTTCCCGCCCTAGGTTCCGCGAACTGGCCGTAAGAAGATCGTACTCTCATCTCATCCTGCCCCATTGCGGCGAGGCGGCGATTCATCGCCTTTACTCGCTGCAAGACTCCTTCGTGAACCCGGCCTTGACTCGCGACCAAGCCAGGGTCGCCATGCCTCTTGGAAGGATCGGGCCGCGCTACGTATGGCAAGGGCGAGATTCATGCGGTCGTAAACCGGGCACGCTTCCGTATGCTGCGGCTTCTTGATGACTTGATCGATGGCCTCCAGCAGGCTCAGGAGTTGACGAATCGTGCGCCGGCCCGCACCCGTATTCTCTGAAAGCGGTTCCTGCAAGTCTGCAAGAAAAAAGCGGGCTGCTTCCAGCCGCTTTCGAAGAATGCGCTCCGCATAAGGACCAAGGTCCTCGCCGAAAGCGGCGAGGACGTTCTCCGCCGAAGCCAATACGTGTTGAGCCTTTTCAGCGGTGCTTGGAAGGTTGTCTCCTTTGACTTCATCGAAGTGCGTAAAGGCCAGGATTAGCTTCCGTCCGTTACCTGTCGCAACAAGTTCGCGCATGGCTGCGAGTGGCGCAGCCTGCATTGGTTGCGTGGCATTGTCCACGAGAAGTACCGCGTCTACCGCCTCAATGAGTCGGCTTACTCCCGTGGACACCGAGGAGGACGACTTCGGCGTGTGCCCCAACCCTTCGCCATCGAATAGCACGAGTTTGGGAGCTTGTCCGTCTTTCCATTTGGGAGAGAAAGGGCCGGCGACGCGAACCCCATTCACAAGAGGTGTGAGGAGGCGTCCGTACAGGGGTGCATAGTTGCTGGAGAACCGCGAGATCGACGTAATGAACTCTCTCCGCTTCTCAACCGGCCATTCTCCCTTCCAGGTGAGTGGCCAGCCCTGCCGGGTCTTGGTTACGATTCCCGGGGGGAGTAGATCGAAGCGCTTCTCGATCTCGTCCATCAAGGCGTCGGCAATCTCGTGAAATGTCTCATCCTCCCTCAACACGTCGTCGAGTTCTTCTTCTAACAACTCGTCAAGGGCGCGTTTATCTCCCTCCTCGTCGCTCACGTCCAATTCGGTGCGTAGCCGTCCTCTGAGTTGGTCCGCCAGGGAACGCAGACGTGTGATCGATAGCGCAAGAAGTTCACTGGTAGCAGTCATATCGATCACGCCGAGCTCTTCGGTCGGAAATAGCCCGACATCCGCCTCGGGCTCCTCATCCTCATCATCGAAGTCGGAAATGCTCGTCATGGTCTTCGGGCCAGTCCCGAGGATATAGCTGAAGCGAAAGCGCTGATTGACGTGGTTCAGAAGACACCGGAGCACGGTCGCGTCAGTCGCGTCTTCGGCATCCCTGACAATCGTGCGAATCGCTGCGGAGATACACTCGTTCAGGTATTCGCTCGCTTCGTCACTCGAAACAAAAGTTACAACCGCCCGCCACGGCCCGTCGTCTAGGATGATCTCGGTATCGTGGATAGTGGTCTTGGAGGTAGATGTTGAAGGGAAGCGTTCCTCCGACGGATCAGTGCCGATAAGCTGCCGGACGAGGGTCGTCTTTCCGGCACCGGTCGTGCCAAGCAACAGCACGTGTCGGTAGCCATCGGGCTCACGCGGTGGGAGCGGAATGGTCTTTTCGCGGAGAGCGTGGAAGTCGAACTCCTCTCGACTCATCTTGTGGAAGTATATGTCAACGACGCGAGGATCGAACCGTTGCTCGGCCTCGAGCCGGGCCGCCGGATCGCGGTATCTGGGATCCGCGAGAATTTGGTTGAGCTCATCCCGGAGTTGCTCGGCCTCCGTCTTGTCGCGGGTGCCCAAACCCCGCCGGACCCTGATCCCTAGCTTTCCTGTCGTCTCGTCCCGCCTCGCCGGATGCCGAAAGATAATCGAGTATCCCGACCGCCCCTGCGACTGGCTCAAGCTTGCCGAATAGCTACGCGTCGACACTATTCTCTCCTTTTTTCCAGATATTCCAGAGACGCACCATTGACCCTTATTCGGTCATACTGCCCGTTGTTCCAGAGTTGTACCGGAGAATCTTATTTGAACCTATCTACGCTGTTAAGGATTTTTGGTACAACTTCGGAACAACGTCATGTTGATCGATGCTGTCCCCGCGAGTGTTCCTTCAGATGGCCACCTGCTCGGAGGGAAAGGCGACGGTTCCAGGAAGGGGACCCGGACGCTCGGGAGACCGCGGCGGCAGGCTAGAACGGCCTAACGGATTGCCATGACGAGGGGATTGCTCGGAGCTTCGAGCCGGCGGGTCTCACTCAGGGTATTAAAGGTGAGTCGCGTACAGTGGATTGGGCGGCCTCAGCGCACCCGGACGTCGGTGATGACGAAGGTGAAGCGATAGGGCGCGATGTCGTCGCCGGTTTGCAGGCCCAGCACGAGGTGGAATTCCTGGCCTTTGTAGGCTTCGGCCACCGCTGGGGCGTTGCCGGCGTTGGGAAGGAAGGATGAGGCAGGGGAGCCGAGCACCATTTCGCCGCCCTCGTAAAGCGTTACGGTGAGCGGGTTTAGAACCAGTTGCCGGTCCACGGGCGACAGGCCGCCCTGGTCGATGTCGGTCGGCAGGCGCCGGTCGGCTTGGTGGCGCGACGGCTCAGGCTGGAACGGTTGAGTCGTTGGGGCGCCCCCCGGCTGTACGATTGCCCGCCACGTGGCGCCCGGCGCAATCGCGCCCTCGCGCATGGACGCATCCGGCGCCCGGATGATGCCCTGATCCGTATTGACCGCCTGATGCCGGTGCCCATGCGGATTGACGAAGTACGATTCGCGCCACGCCACCGCCACGGGTTCCAGGCTCTTGTTGATTACCGCCAACTGCACAACCCCCAACGTCTCCGTCGGCACCGCCTGCACCCGCACTTGGTCGTTCTCGACAACTCCCCCCGCACGCTCGCCGGAAGCCTTCAGCATGTAGTCATAGTGGTATTGATGCGCCGCGCTGCAACTGCCCAGCAATGCCGCAAGCACCACGCACCCCACCCAAGAACGATGTCCGTATGCGCGTCGTGAGGGTTCCAAGGCCGTTTCCCTTATCAATGCCCTGTCGTTTGGAGGGGTCTGCGAGAACGGCTTGGAATCCTAGCACAAAACCCGGTTGGACTGGAGTTGCACCATTTGCGTCCTGACGGTCCGAACGCGGCAACGCGGTGAAATGTCGGATTACGCTTCGCTAATCCGACCTACATCTTGATCCGAACGTGTTCAATCTGGCGCAGGGGTTGGCCGGACGTGGCAGGTAGGTCTTTGTTATGAATTGACGGTGGGTGCCGGCTCAATGCGGACCGCGCACGCTTTGTACGACGGCTGCCGCGAATACGGGTCGAAGGCCGCGAAGGTAAGCTGATTGGTCGCCGCGTCGTGCATGGGTATGAACACCTGCCCCGGCTGCACCACGTGGCTGACGAACGCCCGCGCCCGCACCTGGCCACGCTGCGAGCGCACGATGACCCAGGCGTTGGCGCGCAGGCCCAAGTCGGCGGCGTCCCTGGGGCTCAGCTCGACGTACGGCACGTTGGGGTACAGCTTGCGCAGCACATGACTCTTGCTGGTTCGCGTCTGGGTGTGCCACTGGCTCGAGGTACCCCGCCCGGTAAGCAGGGTGAACGGATAGGCGGGGCTGGTCGGTTCGGGCAGCGGACGCGGCGCCTCGAAGACGAACCGCGCGCGGCCGTCGTCGGTGTAGAACCGGCCGTCCTCGAACAGCCGCCGCTCGCTGCCTGCGTCAACGCTTTCCCCCGCCGGCAGCGGCCACTGGATGCCGCCCTTGGCGTCCAGCATCCGGTAGCCGTCGATGCCGCCGATGTCGCACGGCATGCCCGCCGAGCACGCCCTGAGCAGCCGGAAAACAGCTTCCGGCGATTCCCACTTCCGAAACATGTCGCCGCAGCCCCATGCCTCGGCGATCAATCTGAAAATGCGGAAATCGCTCAGCGCCTGCCCCGGCGCCTTGGCCACTTGCTTGATGACTCCCAGGCGCCGTTCGGAGTTGATGAACACGCCCTCCTTCTCGCCCCAGCCGGCGGCAGGCAGAACGAGGTCGGCGAAGGCCGCGGTCTCGGTGCTGTGGTACATGTCCTGCACGACCAGAAAATCCAGCCGTTGCAGGATGTCGTGCGCGTCCGCCTGGTTGATCCACGAGTGCGCGGTGTTGGTGGCAATGACCCATAGCCCGCGGATGCGGCCCTTAAGGATGCCCTCCATGATCTGATCGTAGGCCCAGCTCGGCTTGCTGGGGATGCACGCCGCGTCGATGCCCAGGATACCGGCGACTTTGTCGCGGTGTTGCGGGTTGGCGAAGTCGTGGCCGCCGAGCAGGTTGGTGGTGTTGCTGAACAGCCGCGAACCCATGGCGTTGCACTGGCCGGTGATGGAGTTGGCGCCGGTGCCGGGCCTGCCGATGTTGCCGGTCATCAGCGCCAGGTTGATGATCGCCTGCGCGGTGCGCACACCCTCGTGGCTCTGGTTCACGCCCATCGTCCACCAGAACGACACCCGTTTGCCGTCGTGAATCGTGCGCGCCAGCCCTTCGATGTCGGCGATGCTCAGCCCGCATTGCTCGGCGGCGACCTCCGGCGTGAACGCCTTCAGGTGCTCGCAGAACGCCTCGAAATCGCTGGTGTGCGCGTCGATGAAACCTTGGTCGATCCATCCCTGGCGCACCAGCACGTGGGCGACGGCATACAGCAGCACGAGGTCCGACTTGGGCCGCAGCGGCAGGTGCCGGGTGGCCGCCTGCGCCGTTTCGGTGCGCCGCGGGTCAATAACGACGATCTCCGGCTGGTGCGGGTTCTTGCACACGCGCTCCCACAGGATCGGGTGGGCGATGCACGGGTTGGCGCCGATGAAGATGATGACGTCCGATTCTTCGAGGTCCTTGTACGTATAGGGCGGGGCGTCGAAGCCAAATGCCTGTTTGTAGGCCACCACCGAGGTGGCCATGCACTGGCGGGTGTTGCCGTCGCCGTGCAGCAGCCCCATGCCGAACTTGCCAAGGGCGCCGAGCAGGGCCATCTCCTCCATGGGAATCTGCCCGGTGCTGATGAAGGCGATGGATTCCTTGCCGTGCTTCGCCTGGATGCCCTTCATGCGGCTCACGAAGGTGTCCAGGGCGGTCGGCCAGTCCACCGCCCGCAGCCGTCCGCCGGCGTCGCGCAGCATCGGCGAGGTGGCGCGGTCCGGAGCGCTCAGCGGCGTCAGCGCCTCCCAGCCTTTGGGGCAGGCCATGCCCAGGTTAACGGCGTATTGCGTGGTCGGCGACAGGTTCACCGCCTGCCCGTGCTTGAAGTGCACGTCCAGCCCGCAGCCGATCGAACAGAAACCGCACACCACGGTCGTGGTGGCGTCGGGTTGCAGCCGCTGCGGCACCTGTCCCAGGCCGAAACCGCCGGGCGCGCGCAGCAGGTCGCGGGTCAGTACGCCCTGCTTGTCGCGCACCAGCCGCCTGGCGCGCTCGATCATCGTCGTCGTTTCACCCCGCTCGTGCATTTACGGCATTCCTCCCGGCATCCGCGGCGCGCTCAGCGCCGAGAAAAAGGTCATGCGCTCGATAATCTCCGCAGCCAGCAGGGCGAGGAGGCCGACCAGCGATCCGCTCAGCGCCGCCCCCAGACTGTCCGGCGCCAGGTTCATTAGCAGCGCCAGCGGCAACAGTACGCCGCCCAGGCCGCCGAGAAAGAAGCGCCACAGCATCAGAGGACGCAATTCTCCCCACAACAGCAGGGCAGTGCGCTTCAAGTCGCCCTGTTGATGGTCGCGCAGGTGGAACAGGATCGACGCCTCACCGGCCAGCTTGAGCAGCGTCAGCAGCGCCAGCCCTTGGGCGCCGCTGCGTCCGAAGGCAATAAGCTCGGCGCTGAGCGGCTGGCCGCTGATGACCGCCACACTGAAGGTGCCGGACAGAATGGTGGCCAGCCCAAGCCCGGCGCTCGTGAGCGCGAATTTGAAGCCGGTACGACCGCCGCTCCACCATCTGCGGTGCGTGACGTGATACAGCATTACCGAGCTGAACACCGCCGCCACGCCGACCCCGGCGGTGGCGTAACCCAGCGCTTCCAGGCCCGCCGCGTCTTGCGATGAATAGAGCGCCGCGGCGTACAGTGTCGTCAGCAGCGCAAAGGCGGCGAAGGCGATGATCTCGCGGCTCAGCCACGAGGTGCGCAGGCCGATAAAGGCGCGCCAGGCGTATTGCGGGCGCCCGAGATGCACGGTGCTGGCCAGCATGGCGAGCAGGCCGAGCCCCAGCGCCAGCACGCCGTGGAAGGGTCGCAGCACCGCCAGGCTCGCCTCGCCGAGCCACAGCGGCAGCAACTGGTTGAAGCAGAAGGCGCCCACCGACAACTGCGTCAGCACCAGCATGATAACCAGCGTCAGGTGCTGGTGGCCCGGCCGGACGGCGTAGAAATCCGCCGGCAGCATGTGCGCGGGAACACGTCAGTCGTCGTGTAGCGCGTCGTCGGCACGGTAATCCCCGGCGACGGCACGCCGGGCAGGAAGGCGTCGCCCTGCGCGTCTTCGATGGCCGCGGCCTTGTCGATGACGCCAATGGCGATGGCCTCGTTGGGGCACGCCTGCACGCAGGCCGGCGCTTCGCCCTCCGCCAGCCGTCCGGCGCACATGTCGCACTTGCGCACGATGCCGAGCTTGGCGCTGTACTGCGGCACCTCGTAGGGGCAGGTGAACAGGCAGTACTGGCAGCCGATGCACTGGTCGTCGAGGTGGTGCACGATGCCGGTCAGCGGGTCCTTCTCGTAGGCGCCCACCGGACAGCCGTGCATGCAGGCGGGCTCCAGGCAGTGGTGGCAGGTGGTGGTTACCGTCTTTTGCATCGCATCCGTCGGGCTGCCGCCGTGCAGCAGACCCACGGAGCGCCACGTCTCGCCCGCCTCCAGGCCGTTCAGGCTGTGGCACGCCGTGACGCACGCCTTGCAGCCGGAACAGCGGTCGAGGTCCACCTCGAAGCTGTATTGCTGCCCGGCGGCGGGCGGCGACACCGGCATCAGGCTGCGGTAATACGGCTCCTGCAATGGCTCGGCGCCGTGCTCGTGCAATTGCGCGAAGCGTTCGACCGCGGACAAGTCCTGCTGCGCGGCGAGATAGGCGTCCAGCATCGGCAGGGGGCGGGCAAGCGGCTCGGGCTCGGACGGCGGCGGCGGGGCGCAGACGGTTTCGGTTTGCAGGCTCATGGCGCTCACCCCTTAGCATCATTCGCTGACGCTCATGCTGTTTGTATTGAATACGCTCGACTCCGCTGCGCTGTGGACCGGCAACAACTGCATGCCGTCACCGGCGCTGCACGCGGTTGCCATTTCGCAGCCGATCTCGGTGGCCAGAGAGCGCTCCAGCGCCTCGGTCGGCGGCAGGTGCAGATACACCTCGCCGTTCTCGACCTTGACCGGGAACACCTGCAGCCCGTAATCCTCGCCGCCCAGCGAGGCGCCGGATTCGAGCGAAAATGTTTTCTTGTGCAGCGGGCAGGCGATTTTCGGCACCCCGCCGACGTCGCCGAGGACGCCGCGCGACAGCACGAAGGCTTTCTTGTGCGGGCACATCTGCTGGCTGGCGTACCACTCGCCGCGGCTGCTGAAGTTGAACACGGCAATCTGCACGCCGCCGTACTTGATGGTGGCGCCGCCGTCGGGCGGAAAATCGTCCGCCGTGCCGACCATGACCCAGGCGCGCTCGGTGTCGCCATCGTCGTTCACCAGACGGTCGAGCACCTCGATCTGCTGCAAGGACACCGCTTCCGTCGGCCAGTCGGCCGGCCGCCGTTGGCCGCGCTCGGAGACGATTTCGATCGTCGGCTCGGTGGCGTCGGTGTTCACAAACTGCCGGAAGAGCCGCCGCTTTTCGGGATCGTTGACCACGTCGGCCCACTCGCAGCGGTACGAATCGACCAGGAACTGCATCATGGAATCGAGCTCGCCGCAGATGCCGAGCTTGTCGTCGATGATGACCTCGCGCAGGTGTTCCACGCCGCCCGCCATCTTGTCGAGCCACACCGCGGTGCGGGTCAGCTTGTCGGCGGTCATGATGTAATACATGAGGAAGCGGTCGATGTAGCGGATGGCGGTTTCCTCGTCGACGTCGGCGGCCAGCAGGTCGGCGTGCCGGGGCTTGGCGCCGCCGTTGCCGCCGACGTACAGATTGTAACCGCGCTCGGTGGCCACCAGGCCCGAAATCCTTGCCTTGCGCCTCGGCGCACTCGCGCACGCAGCCGGACACGGCGCTCTTGATCTTGTGCGGCGCCCGTATGCCTTTGTAGCGATTCTCTACGCGCACCGCGAAGGCGACCGAATCCTGCACGCCGTAGCGGCACCAGGTGGTGCCGACGCAGCTCTTGACGGTACGCAGCGCCTTGCCGTAGGCGTGGCCGCTCTCGAAGCCCGCGTCCACAAGCTTCTCCCAGATGTCCGGCAGGTTTTGCAACTGGGCGCCGAACAGATCGATGCGCTGGCCGCCGGTGATCTTGGTGTAGAGGCCGTAGTCCCGTGCCGTCTCGCCCAGGGCGATGAGCTTGTCGGGGGTAATCTCGCCGCCCGGCACGCGCGGAATCACCGAGTACAGCCCGCCGCGCTGCATGTTGGCGAGGAAGCGGTCGTTGGTGTCCTGCAGGGTGTGGTGCGCCGCGTTGCTGATCGTCTCGTTCCACAGCGCCGCCAGGATGGAAGTGACGGCCGGCTTGCACACCTCGCAGCCGGTGCCGCTGCCGTATTGGCGGATGATCTCGTCGAACGTCTTCAGCTTCTTGGCCTTGATGATGGCGAACAGCTCGATGCGCGAATACGGGAAGTGCTCGCACATATGATGGCTGATAGCGACGCCGGCCGCGGCCATGGCGCCGTTAAACAGGTCGGTGACCAGGGGCATGCAGCCGCCGCAGCCGGTGCCGGCCCGGGTGGCGGCTTTGAGATTCGCCAAGGAGGCGATGTCCTGCTCGCGCATGGCGTCGCAGATGGCGCCCTTGGTGACGTTGTTACAGGAGCAGATCTGCGCCGAATCGGCCATCGCGTCGACGCCGACCAGCGCCCCGGCGCCGCCCGAGCTGCCCAGGATCAACGCGTTGGGGCGGCACGGCAGCGGCTCGCCGCTCTTGGCCAACACGGACAGGGTGCCGTAGTCGCCGGCGTCGCCGACCAGCACGCCGCCGAGCAGCCGGGTGCCGTCGGGGCTGAACAGCAGCTTCTTGTAGACGCCGTCGAAGGGGTCTTCCCAGGTCAGCGGATGGGCGGTTTCGGCACCGGCTTCGTAGTCGCCGAAGCTGGCGACGTCCACGCCCATGAGCTTCAGCTTGGTGGACAGGTCGGCGCCTTGGAAGCGGGCGTCGCCGCCGGTGAGGTTGGCGGCGACGATCTCAGCCATCTCGTAGCCCGGCGCCACCAGGCCGTAGATCATGCCGCCGTGCAGGGCCACTTCACCGATGGCGTAGATGGACGGGTCGGAGGTTTGCAGCAGGTCGTTGACCGCCACGCCGCCGCGCTCGCCGACCTCAATGCCGCAGGCGCGCGCCAGATCGTCGCGCGGCCGAATGCCGGCAGACACGATAATCATGTCCACGTCCAGCACGTCGCCGTCCTGAAAGCGCATGCCGGCCACGCGGCCGTTGCCGAGCACCTCTTGGGTGGCTTTGTTGAGGTGCACGCGGACGCCGAGGTCTTCAATCTTGCGCACCAGGACGCGCGAGCCGGCGTCGTCGATCTGCCGCGGCATCAGGCGCGGGGCGAATTCCACCACGTGCGTTTGCAGGCTGAGGTCGTACGCCGCCTTGGCCGCCTCGAGGCCGAGCAGGCCGCCGCCGATGACGGCGGCGCGCTTCACCCCGTTGCCGTAGTCGATAATTCTCTCCAGGTCCTCGGGTACGGTAGACAAACACGCCGCGCTTTCGATGCCAGGCAGCGGCGGCACGAACGGGAAGGACCCCGTGGCCAGCACCACCGTGTCGTAGCTCACCTCGACGCCCTTGTCGGAGCGCACCACCTTGGCTTGGCGGTCGATGTCGCTGGCGCGGTCGCCGACGTGCAGTTCCACGCCGTTGGCTTCGTACCAGGCCATTTTGGCCATCATGAGTTTCTGCGCGTCGCGGTGCGCGAAAAACGAGGTGAGCCCGACCCGGTCATAGGCCGCGCGGGGCTCTTCGCAGAAGGTGATCAGCCGGAATTGCCGCTTGGTGTCGCGCTCGACGAGTTGCTCGCAGAAGCGCTGCCCGACCATGCCGTTGCCGATTACAACAACGTTCGGCGTCCATCGTGTGTGTCCATCGTTTTCATGATCCCCCCTCCCCTCTGTGAATTGTGAGCGCCAACCCGCCCCGGTGGAGCCTCGCCTGCATGCCTTTCCCTGTGCGAAGGAGGGGAACACACACGGAAAGAGCCGCTGCGAGGGCCGGGGCGCGGCCGGCGCTCAGTGGCCTACCTGGTTGAGAAGGCGGCCATTACGCTGCCGTGCTCAGAGCTTCCTCGCGCTGCGCCAGGGCCGCGGCGAAGGCGGCTTTCTCCTCTGCCTCCACCTCGGGCGAGAAGCGCACGCACAGCGCCAGGCTCGACGACACCGCCACGGCGATGCCGAGGATCAGCAGGGCGTCCTGGGTGGCCAGCGATTCAACCCGGAACAGGAAGCCGGCCGCCACCGCCCCGGCGTTGCCGCCGGCGCCGACGATACCGGCCACCGGGCCGACCGCTTTCTTGTTGATGAACGGCACGATGCCGTAGGTGGCGCCCTCGGACATCTGTACGAAGAGGCTGAAGACGATCATGGCGCCGACCGCGATGCCCAGCGCCGGCATGCGGGAGAAGACCATCAGCGTCACGCCTTCGAGCAGCAGCACGCATCCGAGAAACCACACCCGGCCGCGCAGCCCGCCGCGGCGCGCGAAGGTGTCCGAAAAGATGCCGCCCAGAGTACGGGCGAAGATGTTCATCAGGCCGAACAGGCCGGCGATGAGACCGGCGGTGCCGACGCTGAGCTCGAAGCGGTCGTGGAAATACAGAGCCGCCACGTTGTTGATGGTCAGCTCAATGCCGAAGCACGCGGCGTAGACCACGAACAGCGCCCACACCCGGTAGTCTTTGGCCGCCGCCGTAAAGGAGCCGTACGATTTATCGCTGCGCGGCGCCATGCGGCCCTGAGCCCGCAGGTCGCGGTAATTGCCGTCCGGGGCGTCCTGGGTGAAGAAGTAGTAGGCGATGCCGGTGACGAACAGCACGGCGCCGGGGATGATCATAGCGAGCCGCCAGCTCACGAACTTGCCGACGCCCAGCATCAGGAACGCCGAGAACATCAGCGGCATGACCATCTGCGTAACGCCGCCGCCGAGGTTGCCCCACCCGGCGGTGGTGGCGTTGGCGGTGCCCACGCAGTTGGGGGCGAACATCATCGAGGTGTGGTACTGCGTAATGACGAACGACGCGCCGATAGCGCCGATGGCCAGCCGGAACAGCAGGAACGATTCGTAGCTTTGCGCTAGGCCGATGCCCATGACCGGCAGCGAGCCGAGGATCAGCAGCCACGTGTAGGTGAGCCGCGAGCCGAACTTGTCGCACAGCGGTCCGATCAGGAGCCGCACCAGCACGGTGATGGCCACCGAGGCGATAATGGTGTTGCCGACCTGCGCCTTGGTCAGCATCAGGTCCTCGCGCACGATGGCCATCAGCGGCGCGATGCCGAACCAGCCGAAGAAGCACAGGAAAAAGGCGAACCACGTCATGTGGAATGCCCGCATCTGCGGCGTCTTGAGGCTGAACAGGCTGATTCGGGTTGCTTTGTTCAAGATTTCCACAGGTGTCCCCTCCCTGGTCGCGTCGATCTGGGTAACGCGTTGGTTGAGCCGCAGGAAGCGGCGCTATAGCAAGACGGGCTGGGATAGAAGCAAGAGACGTGCCAAAGAAGGGGATACGGTTCTGGATTACGACGAAAACCCTTTTTATACAATATGGTATGGGATTTTATATGCTTTGGGTCAGGTCGTGATGAGGAGTCGAATTTCCGACGATATTGGCGTCAATCCGGCATAAAACGACGATTTCGTCGGTTTTTTTCAGCTACACAGTTTGCGACGGATTGAAACCTGACGTGTGCTCATGGCGTATCGAGTTCGGACCCAGTATCGACACGGGTTTCGAGGCGTGAACTGGCTCCTTGAGAGCGCAAAACCGACAATTCCGTCGGTCAACGGAGTGCGAAACGACATCGTTGTCAGTTCACACCCCTGCCCCCCAGCGCCATCGTCTTTATGTTTCGAAACCGCTCTGCTACTGTACGGCCTTGTTGGTATTGCATTTGTGGCGAGGAAATCAGCGAGGAAACGTACATGGACAACAAATTGACCGCTGGTGGTCAGAAAAACTGGAAGGTCTACTTGGGCTTCGCATTGCTGCTTGGTTCTGTTCTGGTGAGTTTTGCCCAAGGCATGGAGAAGGGCCAGGCGTCGAAGATCGTTGTGACCCGAGAAAACCTCCACAGTTTCAGTTCAGGTGCGGATTGTAAAAGCGTCCCGTACACCGGTCTCCAAGACGGCAAGCTTTTCATGGTCGCTGAAGCCTTCGTGCGCATGGAACTCTGGACGCAGGAGGGCTTGGGGATGCCCCTTGAGGAAAGAAGGCGTCTGATCGATTCGCAACTCTATTTTCTGCAGGGCAACGCTTATGCAAATTGGTCCCCCACAGCAAAGCCCGAAGGGGTCTGCCCCCAACTGTACGAACGCCTGGAAGCATTTCCCAAAGAGCTGGAAGGGATGCTGGGCTTGGTTCACAACAGCCCAGCCCGGCTCGATCCCCCCTGTGAGCCGGTCATTGCCTTGATGGTGAACGGTAATCGAGTTGTCGAATCCTATGAGCTTGTCACGGACTGCGGCCTTCGCTGAGACTCTGATGATGTCCTGCAACGTTCACCGCTCAATCTGTAGGTCGGATTAGCGAAGCGTAATCCGACACTCCACAGCACCACTTCCCCTGCCGATTTACGCCTGCGGCCAATCCAACCTACGTGAAGCCGCCATCCCGCTGCGTTCATTCAACAACGTCAAACAGTTCCGGGTACGTGTAGAAATTGTGGATGGTGTACTCGCCGAACTTCGGATCGAAGGGCGAGCTGACACGCGCCGGGTGGCGGATGCTGCGGCTGGGGATATCAACAATCGGCAGGCACACCGCGTCGCGCATGATGCGGCGTTGCGCCTCGTGGTAGAGGGCGGCGCGTTGTTCGGGATCCCGGGTGCGCCGCCCTTCCGCCAGGAGATCATCGATGCCGCGGTAGTGGGCGAAATTGGTGCCCTTGTTGCCGGTGGCGGGGTTCGGGGCCTCGCCGGAGTGAAAGAACAGACCAAGCATCACGTCGCCGTCGGTGAGGCGGGTACCGCCGTACAGCACGAAGGGGTTCAGGTTCTTGCGGATGTTCTGGTGGTAGGTGGCGTGTTCGACCAACTGCAGTTGCACGTCCACCCCGGCCCGTTTCAGTTGCTCCTGAAACATGACCATGATCTTCGGGTAGCCGTATGACTTGGTGATGAAGTAATCATGCGATGGCGAGGCCGTCCGGGTATCCCGCCTCGGCCAGCAGTTGGCGCGCCAATTCGGGGTCGTAAGCCGGCATGTCCATAGGCAGGTGCCCAAAGTACCCCGGCGGCAGCGGGCTCGTGGCCAGCATGCCGAGGCCGTCCGGCCACAGCGTATCGACGATGGCTTGGCGGTCGATGGCGTGCATGAACGCTCTGCGGACCCGGATATCGTCGAACGGCGGCTTGGTGGCGTTGAAGTAAAGCCGATACTGTTGCCCCGGGCCGCGCTCGTCCAGCACGGCGCCCATGGCGGCCACCTGCTCCTTCAGGTCTGCCGTGACGACGTTCGGGAACGCGATGTCGAAGGTACCTTTTTCCAGGCCAAGCAATTTGGTGGCGTCTTCGGGCACGTCGAACCAGTGGATCTCGTCCACGAATGGGCGGCCGCCGTGGTAATCCTCGAACGCCTTGAAGACGATCTTCTCGCGCGGCAGGCGGCGGTGGAAGTAGAACGGACCGGTGCCGACCGGATTCCAGCCGAACTCGTCGTCAAACGCCAGCGCCGCCTTCTTGCTGACGACGTAGCCCTGTTGGTAACCGACCATGCGCAGGGGGAAGACGGGATCGTACTGCTTGAGGGTAATGCGTAGGGTGTGGGGATCGAGGATGGCGATGTCCCGGATCACGTCGAGGTTCTTGGCGAAGCGCATGCCGCGGTCGCGCCGCATCTGGCGCTCGAAGCTGTACTTGACGTCCTCAGCGGTCATTTCACCGTAGCCCTTGTGGAACGGCACGCCCCGCCGTAACCTGAAGGTCCACACGGTGCCGTCGTCCGATACTGTCCAACTCTCCGCCAAGTCCGGTTCGACTTCCGCGGTTGTCACCTGCTGCTTCACGCTCTCCGTGCCGTCCGGCGCCGTTTCCCTGACCTCCTTGATGGCAAAGCGTGTGAGGCCGCGATACAGGATTCGCAGGCTGGCCTGCGTCTGCCCGAGAATCGCCACGTGCGGATCGAGGGTTTCCTGTTCCTCATAGGCAATCCTCACGATCTTCTTGCGCGCCGCGTCGGCGGGGGCAAAGAGCCCCAGCAGGATGAAGCCCTGCATCGCCAGCACTGCCAGTAGCCAGCCTAATTCTTTCGCCCGCTCCCCTTTATGTATCGTCACAGCTCCTGGCGCTCCTCTCATTCGGCAGCTTGCGCTGAATGTTGACGAGGCGCAATGGTACAACAGGCGGCCCGTGAACACCGCCCCGACGCCTTCATGAGTTGTTTGCGGAGGGATCAAAACACCCTTGACATTACCGTTGCGGCGGGCGTATCCCTTCTGCACAGAAAGGGCTAATGTCCCTTTCCGTGCCGTGTCCCAAACCAGTCTTTGTAACAGCAAAGAAGGAGATGTGCCATGAGACGGATGGTTACGATGCTCGGGATCATCGGAGTGGGGTTCGTGCTGGCTCTGGCGCCTGGAGGAGCTTGGGCGCAGTACGACGAGAGGATGGCGGCGGAAAGTCCGTGGGGTCCCGAAGACGAGATCGGCACCCTGAACATGATGACCGACACGTCCAGGCTGGACATCATCAAGCAGGTCATGAGCGGCAAGGTCTACGACCTCGGCGTCGAACTGTATTCGGGCATGCCGAGCTGTTGCAGCGCCTTTGGCGACCCCCAGTACCATCTCTGGATGACGCATACGCCGCGCGGCACCATCGCCGCCAATCCATTCGGCGTGTCGCGCGAGGTCAATGAACGGGTGAGCTACTCGGGGGACGCCGTCACCATGTACACGCACAGCGGCACCCACCTTGACACCCTCAACCACTTCGGCCTGCACGGCAAGATCTGGAACCGGTTCAGCGCCGACGAGCACCTGGGCGATCAGGGATGGTCCAAAGGCGGCGCCGACAAATACCCGCCGATCGTCGCCAGGGGCGTGCTCATCGATCTGGCAAAGTCCATGGGCGTGCAGCACTTGCCGGCGTCCTACGGCATCACGGCGGCGGATTTGCAGACGGCGCTGCGGGAACAGGGGACGCAGCTGCAGCCGGGCGACGTTGTCCTGTTCCGCACCGGGCTCATGACCCTGTGGCCCGATTCCTCCAAGTACCAGCTCGGAAATCAGGCCGGCCTGACCCTGGAAGCGGCGAAGTGGCTGGTGGAAGACAACCAGGCCATGCTCCTCGGGGCGGACAATTTCGGCATCGAGGCCTTCCCCTCGACGGATCCGAACAACTATGTGCCGGTGCACACCTACTTGTTTGCCGAGCGCGGGGTGTCGGTCATCGAGGTCATGTGGCTGGAAGACCTGGCACGGGATCAGGTGTATGAATTCCTGTTCATCGCCACGTCCCTCAAGCTGCGGGGCGCAACCGGATCGCCGATCCGGCCGGTGGCGATTCCAGCACAGCGGTAAGAGGTGTTGTAAAGAATTGCACGGCCACGCCGCCCGGCGCGTACCAGTCGTAGTTGTAGAAGTGCTTGGTGAAAGCCCGAATGGCTGCCGAGGCAATCTGCTATTCACGGACAGGGAAGTAAACAGGGGAGGCATGGACTCATAACATCCTCCTCAGCTGGTAAGCGCGTGGTACAGCATAGGCAGGCGGGCGGGTAGCGTGGCGATGTCGTCCAGCACCTCGTAGCCGATATCGCCGCACATGGCTTGCAGGTAATCGTGGCCGGCTTTGTCGACGGTGAGGCAGAACGGAGTGATGCCCTGCGCGCGGGACTCGATGAGGGCCATGTGGGTATCGTGAACGGCGTAGGCTTTCTCGGTGCCCTGGCGGCTGTAGCCGCGGTCCTGGGGGCGGCCGTCGCTCAGCAGCAGAAGGATTTTGGTGGCCGCGGCTTGCGGCGCCAGCTTGCTGACGGCGTGGCGGATAGCCGCCCCCATGCGGGTGGCGTGGCGCGGTGTCACGCGGTCGAGGCGGCGTTTGATGCGGTTGTCGAAGCGCTCGGCCAGGTCCTTGATGACGTAGAAATCCACCCCGTCGCGCCCATAGCCCGAAAAGCCGTAAATGCCGTAGGTGTCGCCGATGGCGTCGAGCGCCTGCATGAGAAGGGCGATGCTGTCCTTTTCCAGGTCGATGATGCGGCGCTTGGAGCGGCCTGCGGCGCCTCGCGGGCCGGGTACCGTGGGTTCGGGCCGGCCGGGGTCGTCGATGTGGAGCGGTTCGGCGGTCGAGGCGCTCATGTCGAGGAGGAACAGAACAGCCACGTCGCGGCGCACCTTGTGGCGGCGCCAGTAGATTTTGTCGTCCGGCGGCACCCGCATGCGCAGATCGGCGAAGGCTTCCAGGGCGGCGTTAAGATCGAGGTCCTCACCGTCGGTGAGGCGGGTGGTCTTGCCGAAACCCTCCGGCAGAATAGCCTCGAACTGGCGTTTCACGTCGTCCAGCAGGGCGCTGTGGCGCCGCAGCGCCTCGTTGAAGCAGTCGGGATCGCCTTCGTCGAGCGTGTGTTCCTTCACGAGACACCAGCGGGGTTTGTAGGACCGTGCCTGGAAGTCCCACTCGTCATAAACAAACGTGCCGGGTTCTCGCGGCTTCAGGGCTTCGTCGTCTTCTTCGTGCAGCGGCGCCCCGGGACCGGGCGACGGGGCCGCGGGTGGGCCGTCAAGCTGTTGCAGGAACTGCGGCAGCAGCGTGGAGGCGCCGAAGGGCTGGCCTCGCTGCCCGGCGTCCGGTGCCAATTCGACGTTGACGGTCATCGTCATCGCCGGTGTTTCCGGCTGTTCGGATGGCTCTGCCGGGGTCTCCGATAGCTGCTCACCCTGGGCGTCAAAGCGAAAAAAGGGCGCTTGGCAGGCGCCGCGGTAATCCACGGGGTCGGGTGTCTCGTAGCTGCCGTCGCAGTCTTCCAGCAGGCCGAACAGAACGTCGCAGGCCCGTACGGCGGCCTCAGCCGTATCCTGCACCGTGCTCTGCGGACCGTGCAGGGCGCGGATAATCGAGGCGAGTTCTTGGACGACCGATTCGCACCCCAGCGGCACGGGCAAGCCGGTGAAAGCGCCAAGCCCCATGCGGACCAGCAATTCCAGCATGGCGGTGACCGGCGACGCGGTATCAAGACTTCTGCGGCTGTCCAGCGCTTCCGCCTGAGCGCGCTGCAGCGCCCGCCGCAGGCCAGGGTATGCGAACGCGATGCGAGCATCCAGACGGCCTTCTTCGAGAATGCTGAAGAGGTCGTAAGCGAAGCGCGGACGTGGAATTCGGCCGAGAAGCTTCACGACGCCCGTGCCGCCGAACTCCAGGTGCGCGACCTGATGCGTCGCCATGACCTTGAGCCAGTGGAAGTTGTCCTGCCGGTCGGCGTATCGCACCGTTACGGGCGGCAGGCAACGGTCGGGCCGCCGGGCGTCCGGGGCGCGTCGGTGGCGTCGACAATTTGAATGTCGGTGCCGGCGAGGGACAGGCAGTAGAGGTGAAGGACGCCTTGCACATCCTGTAGGTCAACTTGCACGGCGGCCCCTACTCGACGACGGCGCCGACGACTTCGGCGATGCTTTGTTGCAACTCGGCGTCGTCGGTCAGGCTCCACACCAGCGCCACCTGGCAGGCGCGGCGGGCGGGTAGCCCCTCGTTCATGAGGCGGGCGGCGTAGATCAGCAGGCGGGTGCTGGCGCCTTCCTGCAGGCCGTGCTCACGCAGGTTGCGCACCTTGACGCCAAGCCGCGCCAGGGTTTCGGCCCTGGCGGCGCTGCAACCGCTTTCGCGCTGGATGATGTCGGCCTCGATGTGCGGCGGCGGGTAGTCGAACTCGATGGCGATAAAGCGCTGGCGGGTGCTGGGCTTGAGGTCCTTGAGGGCGCTCTGATAGCGAGGGTTGTAGGAGACGCACAGCAGAAAGCGGTCGTCCGCTTCGATGACGGAGCCGCGTTTTTCGACGGGCAGCAGGCGTCGGTGATCGGTGAGGGGGTGAATCAGAACCGTGGTGTCCTTGCGGGCCTCGACCACCTCGTCGAGATAGAGGATGGCACCGGTTTTGACGGCGCGCGTCATGGGGCCGTCAATCCAGCGGGTGCCGGTGGCATCCAGCAGGTAGCGCCCGACAAGGTCGCTGGCGGTCAGGTCTTCGTGACAGGCGATGGTGACGAGGGGCAGTTGTACGTCGCCGGATGGTGACGTGTCCTGGCCGCTCACGACGTGCAGTTGCCGGGCCAGCTTCCACGCCATGTACTCCACGAACCGCGTCTTGCCGCAGCCGGTAGGCCCCTTCAGCAGCACCGGGATGCGCTGGTTGTATGCCCCGGTGAACAACTCGACCTCGTCGGCAACCGGCCGGTAATACGGTTCGCTGCGGACCACGAACGCTTCCATGGCGTATTCGCGGTACTGCGCTTTTGGGTGTGGCTTCGGTCATATCGGCGTCGTTGCTCCCTGGCGTTACGATCCCCAGCCCATACCGACCCTCTCGGTGGACGCGGCCATTCTACCGATGCCTCCCCGGACGATCAACAACGGCCCCGTGACGGCATGCGCAATTGCCGTATAATGTGGCCCTTTCCGACTTTTGCCAACCGAATCCCAACACAGAGGAGGACGCTTTCATGCCAAGGCCGAGAATTGCCATGATTTCGCGGACGGAGCCGAACACCGAGATCATCGAACAGCAGTTGCAAGGACAGGATTACGACTTGGAGACGTACGTGTGCAGCAGCCCCGGCGAGGCTATCGAAGCCATCAAGGGCGCCGACGTGATCATCGACCAGGGCGTGCCGATGCCGCGTGAGGTCATCCAGGAAATCGACGCCGCCCAGGCCATCGTCAGCTTCGGCCACGGCTTCAACCACATCGACCACAACGCCGCCACCGAGCAGGGCGTCATGGTGGTCAACTCCGCCGGATTTTGCACCGAGGAGGTGTCCAATCACACCCTCATGCTGTTACTGGCCTGCGCCAAGAAGCTGACCCATCTCGACCAACTGGTGAAGACGGGTCAGTGGGACGCCCGCACCCGCCTGGAGATCACGCCGATGGCGCCGGTTGACGGCCAGACCCTCGGCCTGGTGGCCTTTGGCAACATCGCGCGGGCAACGGCGCGCAAGGCCAAGGTGTTCGGCCTGGAGGTGATCGCCTACGACCCGTACGTGCAGCCGTGGGTAGCCAAGGAATACCGCGTCGAGATGGTGCCGTCGCTGGAGGCGTTGGCGCGGCGTTCGGACTTCGTTTCCATGCACACGCCGCTGAACGACGAGACCCGCAAGCTGGTGAGCACGGCGTTTTTCAAGGCCATGAAGCCGACGGCCTATTTCATCAACACCTGCCGCGGGCCGACCGTGGATGAGGCGGCGCTGATCAAGGCGCTGGAGGACGGCGAGATTGCCGGCGCCGGCATCGACGTGTTCGAGGTGGAGCCGACGCCTGGCGACAATCCGCTGCTGCGCTTCGACAACGTGACGGTGACGCCGCATTCGGCGGGCACGTCGGACAACTCGCGGGTGGCGGTGCAGATGCAGGTGGGTCAGGAGACGGCGCGCCTGTTGAGCGGCCAGTGGCCCATGTCAGTGGTGAACGGCGACGTGCGCGCCGGGCTCCCCGTGCGCCCTGCCGCGCTCAATAGCTGAGCCACGCCACGCGAGGTATGCCGCACGATTCTGTTGATCCGGCTGCCCCGAAATCCGTGAGGGTGCTCAATGACCGAAATGTTTCAACATGCTTACGCCGACCTGGGTGACGTGCGACTCCACTACGTGACGGCAGGCCGCGGGCCCGCGGTGGTCCTGCTGCATGGCTGGCCGCAGACCTGGTACATGTGGCGCGACGTGATCCCCGGACTTGCCGGGCGCTATCGCGTCATCGCTCCGGACTTGCGCGGCCTGGGCGACTCTTCGCGTCCCGTGGGGGGCTACGACAAGAAGACGCTCGCGCAGGATGTCTGGCGCCTGGTTCATGACGTTCTTGGCGAGGATGAACTGTTCGTCGTGGGCCACGATTGGGGCGGGCCGACAGCGTTCGCAATCGCCGCGCAGCACCGCGACGCAGTCAAGCGCCTGGCAATTTTCGATGTTCCCGTGCCGGGCGACGGAACCCCCGTGATGTTTGCCAATCGGTGGCATCATGGCCTGCACTGGGAACTGGATTTTCCGGAGGCTTTGACGGCAGGGCGCGAGGACGTTTATCTCGGTTTTTTCTACCGGAATTGGGGTGGACGCCCCGATGCCATTTCAGCCGAGGCGGAACGCGAATACCTGCGCGCCTACCGGCAACCGGGCGCCATGCGGGCTGGCTTCAGCCTGTATCGTGCGACGCCGCAGGACGTTGCCGACAACCAGGCGTTCCTGTCGGAAGGCAAGCTGGAAATGCCGGTTCTCTGCTATGGGGGCGCGCTCGGGCGTGGGCGCGGCGCGTTGGCGATCGAGTCATGGCGCCGCATCGCCGAAAATGTCAGCGGCGGCGTTGTCGAGGATTGCGGCCACTGGATTCCGGAAGAGCGTCCGGAATGGGTCGTTGAGCAGTTGCTGACCTTCTTCGGCGAAGAGAGGACCTGAGTGCTTTCTCGCGAGAAGGGCCTGCAACTGCTCCTTCAGACAGGATTTAGTCCCTTGTCATCTGGTTGCGAACCACACCGTCGCGCCGGCTGGACCCGATTTTTCGGCGTGGCGCGTACCGGCCGCAACCTCGCAGGAGTCCCCTGGACGATAGGTGGTGTCGCCGTCCTCAAACCCCAGGGTGAATTCGCCATCAGCAACCATCGCGAAGGCGGAGAAGTCGTGCGCGTGCAAATCGCTGGTGGCGTTCGGGGGATAGTCCTTGACCTGTGGTTCTCCATAACCGAGCTCGGCAGCCCGCTGGCGGAATTCCATTTCGTTCATTTCATCACACCTCTTGGATAGTTACGTTTTGGCTACATACGATCGTTTCACACTTGACCCCGGGTAAATCGCGGCTTATCGGAACGGAAGCACCACCAAAAGACCCTCAGCCTTGAACGAAAGGCTGAGGGTCTTTTGTCCGTAAACCTGCCGAGCAGTCTGCGTCAGCCCAAATGCTCCGGCTGAGGTCCGTGGGGTCCGCCGCGAGTAGAAGTTATCTATCCGAAAATGTCGGCGGTGATGCTCCTGTACCAGCCGACGGTGTATTCGGCCTCGCGCTTGCGGAAGTCGGCCGAGGCGCCCTTGGGGCTGACGCCGCCGGCGCCTTCAACGCCCTTGATGGTGCCGTCGTCGGCGAGGCGGTAGACGGCTGCCACCGAGATGCCGTAATCGGGTGCCACCAGGCTGTAGCAGGTGTTGATGAACGACACGGTGCCGGGCGACTCGCCGCGCAGCATGGCGGCCACCGCGGCGGCGCATGCCTTGGCCTGGCTGTTGGCGCTGTAGCCGGATTTCGGCATCTTGCCGGCAATGCAGGCGTCGCCGATGACGTGGATGCCCGGATGAATGGCGGACTCGAAGGTACCTTGGTCCACCGGACACCAACCAGCATCGTTGGTCAGGCCGGCCTGCACCGCAATGCGGCCCGCCGATTGTGGCGGAATGACGTTGACCACGTCGCCGCGCACTTGGCCGAAATCCGTCTCCAGGGTCTTCGTGGCGGCGTCTACCCTTGACGACGCTGCCGCCGGCCGACCCGGCGCGCCACTCGATCATGCCGGGATAGCGTTGTTCCCAGCCTTCCATGAACAGTGGCTGTTTGGAGAACTTTTCCTTGGCGTCGAGGATGATGATTTTCGACTTTGGCTTGTGCGTTTTGAGGTAGTAGGCGATCAGGCTGGCGCGCTCATAGGGGCCGGGCGGGCAGCGGAACGGATTGGCCGGCGGCGCAATGACCACCGTGCCGCCGTCGGGCATGGCTTCGAGCTGCTGGCGCAGCAGGGTGGTCTGCGGTCCCGCCTGCCAGGCGTGCGGCATGGCTTGCGACGCCTGCTCGTCGTACCCTTCCAGGGCGCCCCACAACAACTGGATGCCCGGCGACACCACCAGACGGTCGTAAGACAGGTCGCTACCGTTCTGCAGCGACACCTTGCGTTGTGCCGGGTCGATGCCGCTCGCGGTATCGTGGATGACGGTCACCCCGTGACGGCTGCTCAACCGGTCGTAGCCGTGGGTGATGAAGTCCATGCCGGTCAAGCCGCCCAGAACCGTATTGCTGAACGGACAGGTCATGAAATGGGAACTGCGCTCGACGAGGGTCACCTCGATGCCCGGGTCGGCGCGCCGCAGGTATTTCGCGCAGGTGGCGCCGCCGAAACCGCCGCCGATCACCACCACCCGGCCGGTGGCCGCCCGGCTGAGGGCCGGAAACCCCGCAACGCCTGCCGCCGAGAAGGCGCCGGCACTTCCGATCAACTGGATGAAATGTCTACGTGTAATGGGGCGTCATCGGTCCCCTCTCTTATTGATTCCCCAAGTGTTGCGCGATGGCGGCGATTTCGTCGTTGTCATAGCCTTTGGCGATGCGGTTCATCACCGTGCCCTCGCGGACGTCGGCCCTGAATTCGTGCATGCGCCGGGCGATGTAGCCGGCGGACTTGCCGGACAGTGCCGGAATGGCGCCGGGACTCATGCCGTCCGTGCCGTGGCAGGCAGCGCAGGCGTCGGCCAGCGCCGACGGCGTCACCCTGCCGGCCGCGGCAGTCTGCCCCAGAGCGGCAAAGTGCTGCGCCACGGCGGCGATTTCGGTATCGCTGTAGCCCTTGGCGATACGGTTCATCACCGTGCCTTCACGGGCGCCGGCTTTGAATTCGAGCATGCGCTGGACGATGTAGTCGGCGGATTTGCCGGACAGTGCCGGGATGGCGTCGGGGCTCTTGCCGTCCGTGCCGTGGCAGGGGCGCGCAGGCGTTCGCCAACATCGATGGGCTGGCGTCCGCCGCCCACAGTAGCGCCGGTGCCACCAACAGCCCGAGGGTGACGGCGAACACGACTTGCATGGACCTTGTCATCAATGGATGTCCTCCTTACCAACCGGTATTGCAATGCAGCGTGTTGCCCCCACCTTAATTCCTTTCGGGTCTGAGTGCCACGTAGAGATGATTGCCGCGGCGTTCGAGCAGCAGCAGCACGGGTTCGCCGTCCTCGATCTGGGCGGTGGCCGCCTCATAGGCATCCAGGTCCTCGACCGTTTGGCGGTTCACTTCGCGGACGATGTCGCCCGGCTGGATGCCGGCGTTGGCGGCGGGGCTTTCGTCCGCAACGTCCGTCACCACAACGCCGCGGTCGTCATCAATCCGCAGTTCGCGGGCCATGTCCTCGGTAATCGCCTCGACCTGTATGCCCAGAAGTTCTACCACGCCCGACGGCTCCAGGCTGGCGATCCGCGCGGCCTCGTCTTCCTCGAGTTCACCGAGCGTGACCGGGATGGTCATGCGCTGGCCGTCGCGGATGATTTCCACGTCTACGGTGGTTCCCGGCGCCACAACGGCCACCAGACCCGGCAGGGTGCTGGAATCCTCCACCTCGCTGCCGTGAAAGCCGACGATCACGTCGCCCTGCTGCAGGCCAGCCTTGTCTGCCGGTGCGTCGGTGACGATGCCGGATACCAGAGCGCCGTTGGCGTCATCGAGCTTGAAAGCATCAAGCATTTCAGGCGCGATGCTCTGAATGGCCACGCCCAGCCAGCCGCGCGTCACGTTGCCCTTGTCGTACAACTGACTGAGGACGTTCTTGGCCATGTTGATCGGGATGGCAAAACCGATGCCCTGGCCGCTGCGCATGATGGCCGTGTTGATGCCGATGACCTCGCCGCGCATGTTGAAAAGCGGGCCGCCGCTATTGCCCGGATTGATCGAGGCGTCGGTCTGGATGAAGTCGTCGTACGGCCCGGCGCCGATGGTGCGGCCTTTGGCGCTGACGATGCCCGCGGTAACAGTGTGGCCTAGGCCGAAGGGGTTGCCGATAGCCAGCACCCATTCGCCGACCTCCAGGTTTTCGGAGTCGCCGAACGGCACAGTAGGCAGGGGCAGCGGAGTGTCGACGCGCAGGAGCGCCAAAGTCCGTCTTGGGGTCGCGCCCGATCAGGGTCGCCTCGAACTCCTCCTTCGACGCCAGCGTCACGGTGATTTCGTCTGCTTCTTCCACCACGTGGTTGTTGGTCACGATGTAGCCGTTGGTGTTGATGATGAATCCGGTGCCCAAGCTGGGGCGATGGCGCGGACGGCGCTGTTCACCGAAGAAGCGGTCGAAAAATTCCTGGAAGGGGTCCTCGCCGCCCGAAGGGAAACGGCCGCCGGCGTCGTGAGTGTTGTTCGGTGGGGGCGGTTCTGCGGCTGCTGATGTTGACGACGGCGGGTTTTAAGGTTTTGGCCGCTTCGGTGAAGGACGGCACCTGCGGCTGCTCAAACTCAACGCTGCTGCCCTCCTTCCAAAGTTGTGCTGCCGCCAGCGGTTCCAGACACACGGTGCAGGCGAGCAACAGCGCAGCAAATACCCCGGCGGCAAGGGTGCTGGCCCGGCGGGGCAACGGGGTCGTGTTTAGCATGGGACGCTCTCCTTTGGGTGGACAGCCTTGCGGAGGGCGAGAAGGGAGGAACGGCTGAACCGCCCCTCCCTTCTCCTGGCACGATGGCTTAGGGTTAGTAATCCATGTGGTCGTGGCCGCCGGGCATGGCAGGCGCTTCCTCCTCAGGCAGATCGGTAATCAACGCCTCGGTGGTAAGCAGCAGGGCCGCGACGCTGGCCGAGTTCTGCAAGGCGATGCGGGTAACCTTGGTGGGGTCGATAATACCGGCCGACACCATATCGACGTATTCCTCGGACGCGGCATCATAACCCACGGTGCCCGTTCCGCCTTGACGCGCTGCAGGACGGTGGCACCCTCGGCGCCGGCGTTGTTGGCGATCATGCGCAGCGGCTCCTCAAGAGCGCGCCGCACGATGTTGACGCCCACTTGGCGATCGTCGTCCAGGGAAACCTTGTCCAAGGCGCCCAAGGAGCGTACGTAGGCAACGCCGCCGCCCGGCACGATGCCTTCTTCCACTGCGGCGCGGGTAGCATTCAAGGCATCCTCCACGCGCGCCTTCTTTTCCTTCATTTCCGCCTCGGTGGCGGCGCCGACGCGAATTACACGCCGCCGACCAGCTTGGCGAGCCGCTCCTGCAACTTCTCGCGGTCGTAGTCTGACGTCGTTTCTTCAACTTGCATGCGAATCTGATTCACCCGCCCTTCGATGTCGGAAGCCGAACCGGCGCCTTCCACCAGGGTGGTGTTTTCCTTGTCGATGGTAATGCGCTTGGCCTCGCCGAGGTCATCCAGAGTGATGTTTTCGAGCTTGATGCCGAGATCCTCGGAGATGACGTTGCCGCCGGTCAGGACGGCTATGTCGCGCAGCATTTCCTTGCGCCGGTCGCCAAAGCCGGGGGCCTTCACGGCAGCACATTGCAGGGTGCCGCGCAGGCGGTTGACCACCAGGGTGGCCAGCGCCTCGCCCTCGATATCCTCTGCGATAATCAGCAACGGCTTACCGCCGCGGGCGATCTGCTCCAGCACCGGCAGCAGTTCCTTCATGTTGCCGAGCTTCTTTTCGTGCAGCAGGATGTAAGCGTTCTCCAGCACCGCTTCCATGCGCTCGGTATTGGTGGCGAAGTAGGGCGAGATGTAGCCGCGGTCGAACTGCATGCCTTCCACCACGTCCAGGTCGGTCTCGGAGGTCTTGCCCTCTTCCACCGTGATGACGCCGTCCTTGCCGACTTTCTCCATGGCCTCGGCGATCAGGTTGCCGATGTCGGCGTCGTTGTTGGCCGAGATGGTGCCGACCTGGGCGATTTCGGTTTTGTCCCTGACGTCGCGGCTGAGCTTGCGCAACTCCTCGACAACGACCTCCACGCCGTGTTCGATGCCGCGCTTGATGTCCATGGGGCCGTGCCCGGCGGTCACCTGCTTGAGGCCTTCGCGCAGGATGGCTTGCGCCAGCACGGTGGCGGTGGTGGTGCCGTCGCCGGCCACGTCGCTCGTCTTGCTGGCCACCTCGCGCACCAGCTGGGCGCCCATGTTCTCGAACGGATCTTCGAGCTCGATCTCTTTAGCCACGGTCACGCCGTCCTTCGTGGAGGAGGGCGAGCCGAATTTCTTGTCCAGAACCACGTTGCGGCCGCGCGGGCCGAGGGTCACTTTTACGGTGTTGGCCATCTTATTGATGCCGCGGAGCATGTCGGCACGGGCTTTTTCACCAAAGTGCAACTGTTTTGCGGGCATAGCGTTTTTCCCTTTCAAATCGAAGGCAGTGCGAATGCCGGTTGCTACTCGACGACGCCGAGCAGATCTGATTCGCGCATGACGAGCAGTTCCTCGCCATCAATCGTAATTTCCGTCCCGGCGTACTTGCCGAACAGCACCTTGTTATCGACTGCAACACCGAGCTGGCGCCGCGAGCCGTCTTCCTGGCGCTTGCCCGGGCCGACCGCCAGCACCTGTCCTTCCTGCGGTTTTTCCTTTGCCGTGTCGGGAATGATGATGCTGCCTTGCTGCTCTTCTTCGACTTCAAGGCGTCGGATCAGGACGTTGTCGTTCAATGGACGAAAGGCCATAACTCAAGTTCTCCTCATCATGTTTGGGAGATGGGTAAGCGGCGTGCATCGCTTGCGGCAAAGAACTGACGCCCTGCGGAAGCGAGGCGGCCGCGACTCCGTGCATTGCGTTTGCAATTATTAGCACTCTAGGAAGTTGAGTGCTAGACGATAAACGGGTGCGGCCTTTTTTGTCAAGGACAGCGACAAAATCAGTTGTCGTCAGGATGCCCCGAGAACTGCTTCAGAGGCCGCCGGCGCGTCTCTTTCGGAGGCGGCGTACCACTTCAAGTAGTCATGCCAGCTCTCAGGCGGATTGCGCAAGCTCGCCGCCATGATGGCGTGGGACTGCCAGGCGGGCTTGCGGGGCAGCCGCTTCAGGCGCAGGCCACAGTTCTCCAGGGTCTTGCCGCCCTTGCGGCGGTTGCAGGCCAGACAGCAGGTCACGATGTTCGTCCACTCGGTGAGGCCGCCGAGCACGCGCGGCAGCACGTGGTCGTAGGTCAACTCGCTCGGCGGCGGCATGGCGCCGCAGTACTGGCAGGCGTAGTGGTCACGGGCGTAGATGTTCTGGCGGGAAAACTTGACGCCGCGCGGCTGGGCGCGCACCAGCTTGTGCAGCCGGATAACCGCTGGCAAGCGCAGGGTGAGGCTGACACTGTGAATCTCGCGGGCGTACTCCTCGACGATCTCCGCCTTGCCGGCGAAATAGAGCGTCAAAGCGCGTTTCCAGTTCAGGATGCGCAGGGGTTCGAAGGAGGCATTGAGCAGGAGAACGTGTTCCATGGCGTGCAGGGTTCCGTCCTGTCGATGATTGCGCCGGTGGCCTTTTTTTGGCCGCGGCTATTGTACTCAACCCGCCTGTGAAAGGGAACGCCGGGCGCATTTTTTCGACGGACCTGTTACACTTCCAGCCCTAATCCCCGGCTTGGAAACGACCTAGTTCAAGGAGAGAATGAATGACCGAACGACTGACCCTGATGGCGGTGCATGCCCATCCGGACGACGAATGCATGAGTACCGGCGGCAGCTTGGCTCGCTACCGCGAGGAGGGCGTACACACCATCCTGGTCACCGCGACGCGGGGCGAGGAGGGCGAGATCGTGGACCCGGAAATGGACCCCGACGAGGTGCGGCCGAAACTCGCCGACGTGCGCGTGGCGGAACTCGAAAAGGCGTGCCAGCACCTGCAGATCGGGGAGTTGCACCTGCTCAACTACCGCGATTCCGGCATGGCCGGAACGCCGGCCAACGACCACCCCGACTGTTTCCACCAGGCCGACCTGCACGAGGCAACCGGACGGCTGGTGCGCCTGATGCGGCAGTGCCGCCCGCACGTGGTGACCTGCTACAACGAGAACGGCGGCTACGGGCATCCGGATCACATTCAAGTCAACCGCACGACCGTCGCGGCCTTTCATGCTGCCGGGGACCCCGCGCAATACCCCGAGGACGGGCTGGCGCCGTGGCAGCCGCAGAAGCTTTATTACACGTCCTACCCGCGTTCCTACATCCTGATGCGCTACGAGGTCATGCGCTCGATGGGTGTCGAGTCGCCGATGGACCGGCCGGATTTCGATCCGAACAAGGTGGGCGGCACAGCGGACGAAGAAATCACGACGCGTATCGAGGTGCGCGACTATCTCGCGCTCAAGACGGAGGCGTTGCGCTGCCACCGCAGCCAGATCGCGCCGAATTGGTGGTTCAGGCGCATTCCGCCCGAGGTGCAGCGCGAGAAATTCGCCCACGAGTGCTTCGTCTGCGTGGCGTCGCACGTGCCGCACAGCAGCCCCGAATGGGACCTGTTCGCCGGTCTGCGCGAGCCTGCTGGCGTAGCTGCGTCGTAACCCGCCTGGAGCATTTCCGTATCTGAATGCGCCGGTAAAACATCAGCCACCCCGCCGACAAGTCGAAGCTTCAGCGGCAAGACGTGCATCCCCGCGCACTGTGCCAATATCGACCCGAGGCCGATCGGACCTATGGCCTTTCCTGTGCCCACAAGAAACTGAGGCCATCCCAGGATCCGGGACGGCCTCAGTTTCTTGTAATGTGTCTTATGTCGTCTTCAGGTGCAAAAATTTCTCCGAGGCGTGTCCCGGAGGGGTTCAGACAATGATGCGATTACTGGCTGACGGTCTCGCCCGTCTCCATGTTCAAGGGTATACGAACGGGGCCGAGCGTCTGCATGGCTTCAAAGCCATTCGGCACCATATCGCAGTAGAGTTCCACCCGGTTGCCATCCGGATCATGGAAGTAGACACTGCGGGTCACGTTGTGTTCGACGGTGGACTCAACCGCAATGCCAAGCTGGCCCAGTTCCCGATAGGCATCCTGCAGCGCCTCGAAGCTCTCGAGCTGCCAGGCCGTATGATGCAGGCCGAGCTGCGTGGCCGTGGGCGTATCTCCCGTGGCCAGTTGGAACAAGGCAAGATCGTGGTGCTCCGTGCCAAAGCTCAGGAACACCGCGCCCCGTTGGCGATCTTCATGGGCCACCTGTAACCCAAGCACGCGGGTATAAAATGTTTTGGACGCTTGTACATCACGTACTTTCAGCACCACGTGACCGAGTTTGCGGGCCTGTATTATGATGATCCTCCTGACGCCTTAAAGGCACGAGTCGTTACCCTCTGAAAAAGTACTGCGCAATCATGTCAACGGAAGTAGTAAAAGTCCACAGTTGACATCGGCAACGCCCAGCTCGGCCAGCGGGCGCCATTCACGCCTGGCAGCGGCGTGATCACCCCGCGTTCATACGCTTCCACCCCGGCCCTGCAAAGCAGCGTTCCAGAACGTCGGTAGCGGGCAATTCAGCCTGTCGTCGTCACGTACCATCGCTTTTCTTCCCCCGTTTTCGTCAACTTCCGATAAGAACCTTTGTGCTGCCTTCGGGTATTAAAAAATCCCTCCGAGGCACCCAGTTTAGGGGGTGAGGGGGAAACTTCCCATAATGTATACTGTCCCTTGCTGCGTGGTTGCGCAGCGATGGTAAGTCGCAGCACCGAGAGCCGTGCGGGGTGGTAGAAGCCACGTGCGGCTCTTTTGTGTCTGGCGTCATATCGCCGCATCGAGGAATTTCAACACGCGATCGCTTCAAATCCAGCCCTCCTCCATGCCCTGACAACCTCTCCAAAATCCGCATGGCAGGCAGCGAGCCGACCCGCCATCGGACCCGGACCACCGCAGCTGACCTCGATCAACTGCCCGGGCGACGTCGAGGGGGTTTACTCCCTCTCTTGAATGGAGAGCGTTGGAGTAGTGAGGGGGAATTGCCCGGGTTGCAATTCGTCCTGATCCGAAAGTGCTCTAATCCATCACCAGCATGATCTTGCCGACGTTGCGGTTGTCTTCCATGTACTGGTGCGCCGCGGCGGCCTCGGCGAGCGGGAACGAGGTATCAATGAGGGGCTGAAGGCGGCCGCTTTCGAGCTCGGGGAGCCAGCGGCTGCGGAAACGCTCGGTGATGGCGATTTTGTTCGCCAGCGGCTGGCTGCGCATCACCGAGCCGATGACCTGCAAGCGCTTGCGCATGATGAGGCCGAGGTCGACCTCCACCTTGGCGCCGCCCATCAGGCCGACCAGCACCAGGCGGCCGGCCGTTTTCAGGCATTTCAGGTTGTTTTGCCAGTAGGCAGCGCCGATGAAATCCTGCACCAGGTCGACGCCGGCGCCGTCGGTCAGCTCCAGCACTCGTGCCGCAAAATCGGTTGTTTTGTAGTTGATGCCCGCCTCGGCCCCCAGCGCCTCCGTGCGCGCCACCTTTTCCTCCGACCCCACCGTGACCAGCACCCGAGCCCCCGCCTGTCTTGCCATCTGGATGCCGGCGGTTCCCACCCCGCTGGCGCCGGCGTGAATGAGCACGGTCTCCCCCGCGTCCAGCCGCCCCAGGGTGAACAGGGTCTCGTTGGCGGTGAAAAAGACCTCGGGCACCGCCGCCGCCTTCACGAAGTCCCAACCGTCCGGAATCGGCATGGCCATCCGGTAATCGATGCACGCCTTCTCGGCGTAGCCGCCGCCGCCGACCAGGCCGAATACGCGGTCGCCCGGCTTGAAGCCCGAGGCGTTGGCGCCGATCGCCTCAACCTCGCCGGCGAGTTCCAGGCCGAGGATGTCCGACTCGCCGGGCGGCGGCGGGTAGTGGCCGCGGCGCTGCATGGTATCGGCGCGGTTCAGGGCGCTGGCCCGCACGCGCACCAGCAATTCGTCGGCGGTGGGGGTGGGCTCGGCGACGTCCTCCAGGCGCAGCACGTCGGGCCCCCCGTGGGTGGCGAAGGTGATGGCTTTCATAATGGTGATTGTCTCCAGACGGCAAATGGGGTCGGATTCGTGGGGTCGCAAAAGTGTCTGCCGGGACCGGCAAGCTCGTGGGCCACGAAGCTATCACGCAGGCGCACGGGGTGTCAATTTGCCCCCCGCGCCGCATGGCGTAGCGGTTTGACGCCTCCCGGCGAGTCGTGCTACAACCGGAACCAATTCCACAACACCCACTCCCATTTCCGACCTCGAAAAGGAACGCCATGACCGAGCATCGCCCACCGGTAGAAAACCTTGCCGCCGAGCGCGTCAACGAGATGAGCCGCAACTTCTGGAACTCGGCGGTGCTGCGCGCGGGTATCAAGCTGAACGTCTTTTCCCTGCTGCAGCATCAAGTCCTGTCGTGCGACGACGTGGCGCAGGCGTGCGACGCCAACCGGCGCTTCATGGAAGCCTTCCTGGAGGCCTGCGCGGCGCTGGGGCTGCTGGACAAGCAGGGTGAACGCTATACCGACTCGGCGCAGGCGGCGGCGTTCCTGGTGCCGGACAAGCCGACCTACGTGGGCGATCTGGTGTTGCACATCACCAATTACTGGCACACCTGGGGCAAGCTCGACCAGCTCATCAAGGAGGGGCGCACCGAGTTGCCGTTCGAGAACGGCTTCGTGGACGCGCCGACCTACTGGACCGACTACATGCGCGGCCAGCACAACCGCGCCACCGCCGGTCAGGGCGACTACCTGGTGCAGAGTGTGGCGCTCGACGCCCGGCGCAAGATGGTCGACCTCGGCGGCGGCGCGGCCAGTTACAGCATCGCCTTGTGTGCCGCCAACCCGGAATTGCGCGCCGACGTGGTCGATCAGGTGGAGCCGTTGGCGGTCGCCCGGCCGCTGGTCGAGGCGGCGAGGCTGCAGGACCGCATCACCCTGGTGCCGGGCGATTTCAACACGATCGAGCTGGCGAGCGATTATGACGTGGTGCTGATTTCCGGGGTGGTGCTGATCAAATCCGAAGCGGCGTGTCGGGAAGTGTTTCGCCGTGCGCTCGGCGCCCTCAAGCCGGGCGGCCTGGTCATCGTGCAGGATTTCATGCGCGTCGACCACAGCGCCGCGCGCAGCTTCCTGGACACCATGATGGACATGTACGTGGTGGTGGCTTTCGATCCCCGGCGCCGGCGACCGCTTTGGCGACGAGGTGGCGGGCTGGCTGGCCGACGAGGGCTTCACCAACACCCGGCAAATTCCGTTGCCCACGCATCTGGCGCTGGTGCTTGCCGACAAGCCGTAGGGTGAGGGGTTTCTTGCAAGTCCGTGACCCATTCGCGGCTTATTGGAACCGCCTCCGGTTTTGCGATACTATGCCAGACTCGTACGTTGGCATTGATGTTTCCATCCAAACAACAGACCCCCTGCATACCTCATGGCCTACTTCACCCAACAACTGATCAACGGCCTGACCCTGGGGTCGATCTACGGCCTCATCGCCATCGGCTACACGATGGTGTACGGCATCATCGGCATGATCAACTTCGCCCACGGCGAGATTTACATGCTGGGGGCGTTCATCGCCATCATCACCTTCCTGCTGCTCGGCCTGGCCGGGGTGACGTTCATGCCCCTCGTGCTGCTGCTGGTGCTCATCCTATCGATGGCGTTCACCGCGGTGTACGGCTGGACGCTGGAGCGCCTCGCCTACCGTCCGCTGCGGGCGCGCCGCGCCTGGCGCCGTTGATCTCCGCCATCGGCATGTCGATCTTCCTGCAAAACTACGCGCAGATTCTGCAGGGCGCGCGGGTGAAGCCCATCCAGCCGGTGCTGACGGGCGGCATGGTGCTGGCGGAGACGGAGGGGTTCGCGGTGACGCTGAGCTATCTGCAGTTGATCATTATCGTGCTCACCGTGGTGCTCATGGTGGCGTTCTCGTTCCTGATCGGCAAAACCAAGCTGGGGCGGGCGCAACGGGCGTGCGAGCAGGACCGCGCCATGGCGGCGCTGGTCGGCGTCAACGTCGACAAGACCATCGCCCTGACGTTCGTCATGGGGGCGGCCTTGGCGGCGGTGGCGGGCGTGATGGTGACGCTGTACTGGGGCGTGATCGATTTCTTCATCGGCTTCCTGGCCGGTCTCAAGGCGTTTACCGCGGCAGTGCTCGGTGGCATCGGCTCGCTGCCCGGCGCCATGCTGGGCGGAATCCTCATCGGCCTCATCGAGGCGTTCTGGTCGAGCTATTTCAGCGTCGAGTACAAGGACGTGGCGTCGTTCTCGATCCTCGTGCTCGTGCTCATTTTCATGCCCTACGGCCTGCTCGGCCGGCCCGAGATCGAAAAGGTCTGAGACGATGGCAGAGCACCCTTTGCCCGGCGGCGCCACCGCGGCGGAGCCTTTCCGGAGCGCCGGCGCCGGACGGAGGCCGCAGAAGCTCGCTGGCCGACATGGGCAAAGAGGCGGGGCTGGCGGCGTTCGTCGCCTTGATGCTGGCGCTGCCGATGGGCGGCTTCAGGACCACCGAAGCCGTCACCGGGCTCAGCCTTGAGTTCCGACCCCTCTTCGTCATTGTCCCCGTGGCGTTTGTGTTCCTCGGCCGCATCGTGCTGATCGTGCTGCGCGAGCGCCGCGGCGGCCTGCCTCGCGGTGACGGCGGCCCTGGCTTGATGGACCGCATCGCACGCGGCGCCTCGCAAGGTTCCACAACCATCGGCATCGTCATTCTGGCCATCGCCATCGTCATGCCGTTCATGCCGTTTTCCAACCGCTACCTCATCGACACGGCAACCACCGTCCTCATCTACGTCATGCTCGGCTGGGGGCTGAACATCGTGGTCGGTCTGGCCGGCCTGCTGGACCTGGGCTACGTGGCCTTCTACGCGGTCGGCGCCTATTCCTACGCCCTGCTGTCCACGGAATTCGGATTGTCCTTCTGGATTTGCCTGCCCCTGGCCGGCGTGTTCGCGGCCCTGGCGGGCGTGCTGCTCGGCTTTCCGGTGCTGCGGCTGCGCGGCGACTACCTGGCCATCGTGACGCTCGGCTTCGGCGAGATCATCCGGCTCATCCTGCTCAACTGGTACGAGGTCACCAACGGCCCCGACGGCATATCCCGCATCCCCCGCCCGACCTTTCTCGGCCTTGAATTCACCCGCCGTCCGACCGAGGACATCACGGCGTTTCATCAATACTTCGACATCCCCTACTCCGGCGAGCACCGGGTGATCTTCCTGTATTTCCTCATCCTGGGGCTGGCCCTGCTGACCAACTTGTTTACCCAGCGCATTCGCAAGCTGCCCGTCGGGCGCGGCTGGGAGGCGCTGCGCGAGGACGAGATCGCCTGCCGGTCGCTCGGCATCAACCCGACCAACACCAAGCTGACGGCCTTCGGCCTGGGGGCGCTGTTCGGGGGGTTCGCGGGCGCCTTCTTCGCCACCCGGCAGGGGTTCATCAGCCCGGAGAGTTTCACCTTTATCGAGTCGGCCATCATCCTGTCTATCGTCGTGCTGGGCGGCATGGGCAGCCAGCTCGGCGTGGTGCTGGCGGCGACGCTGCTGATCGTCCTGCCCGAGTTGGGCCGCGAGCTGGCGCAGTTCCGCATGCTGGTGTTCGGCGCCGCCATGGTGGGCATCATGGTCTGGCGCCCGCGCGGCCTGCTGGCCCACCGCGAGCCGACCCTGCTGCTCTACGGCAGGGGACGAGGTGCGACATGACGCAAGCGGCGAGCGATAGCAGCGTGCTGGTGACCGTTGAGCACATGACCATGCGCTTCGGCGGCATTGTGGCCATCGACGACCTGTCCTTCGAGGCCAGGAAGGGGGAAATCACCGCCATCATCGGCCCGAATGGCGCCGGCAAAACGACGGTTTTCAACTGCCTGACCGGTTTCTACAAGCCCACCATCGGGCGCATCGCCCTGAACCACCCTAGCGGCACGATGCTGCTGGAACGCATGGAAGGGTTTCGCATCGCGCAGCGTGGCGGCGTGGCGCGGACGTTTCAGAACATCCGGCTGTTTGGCCGCATGACCGTCCTGGAGAACCTGATCGTGGCGCAGCACAACGCCCTCATGCGGGCCTCGGCGTTCACGGTCGCCGGGCTGCTGGGGCTGCCGCGCTACCGCCGCGCCGAGCGGCGCGCTGTCGACAAGGCGCGCGAGTGGCTGGACAAGGTGCAACTCCTGGACGTCGCGGACTGGGAGGCGGGCAATCTGCCCTACGGCGCTCAGCGCAAGCTCGAAATCGCCCGCTGCATGTGCAACGACCCGCTGCTGCTGTGCCTCGACGAGCCCGCCGCCGGCCTCAATCCGCGCGAATCCGCAGAGCTGAACGAAATGCTGCGCAGCATCCGCGACGAGCAAGGCATCGGCCTGCTGCTCATCGAGCACGACATGAACGTGGTCATGGGCATCTCGGACCACATCGTGGTGTTGGATTACGGGCGCAAAATCGCCGACGGCACCCCGGTCGAGGTGCGCAACGACCCGGCGGTCATCCGCGCCTACCTCGGCGAGGAAGAGGAGGGCGACCTGCCGCCCGTGGTCAGCGACACCATGCAGGCGCAGCCGGAAGCAACGGACGACAGCGCTTTGCCGGGCGGCGGAGACTCGTGATGCTGAACATTCAGGGCGTCCATACGTTTTACGGCCAGATCGAGGCGCTGAAGGGCGTTGACATCGAGGTGCAAGAGGGCGAGATCGTCACCCTCATCGGCGCCAACGGGGCCGGCAAGTCGACGCTGCTGATGACCATCTGCGGCAACCCGCGCGCCGCCAGCGGGCGCATTTATTTCGACGACCAGGACATCACCGACCTGCCGACCCACGATATCATTCATCGAGGCGTTGCTCAGGCGCCGGAAGGGCGACGCATCTTTCCGCGTATGACGGTTATCGAGAATCTGCGCATGGGTGCCCTGTCTACCGAGGACGCTTATTTCGACGACGACATGGCGAGCGTTTTCAATCTGTTCCCGTTGCTGCAAGAGCGGCGCAACCAGCGGGGCGGCACGCTCTCCGGCGGCGAGCAGCAGATGCTCGCCATCGGCCGTGCCCTGATGAGCCGTCCGAAGCTCCTGTTGCTCGACGAGCCGTCGCTCGGCCTCGCCCCGATGATCGTCAAGCAGTTGTTCGCGGTCATCAAGGAGATCAACGAGCAGCAGGGGGTGACCATTTTCCTGGTCGAGCAGAACGCCTATCACGCCTTGCGGCTGGCGCACCGGGGGTACGTCATGGCCACGGGCGAGGTCATCATGGCCGGAACCGGGGGTCGAGTTGCTCGCCAACCCGAGGATTCACGCCGCCTACCTGGAAGGCGGGCATCAGGGAGCATAGGGCTTTGGAAGACCTCCTGGGATCATCGCTTGGTGTTTTCATCGGTCTAAATGTTATATTGTTCGGCATCGCTTCATGGATGACCGGGCGGGCCCTTGCCGAGACTTGGAAATCGCTGTGGCCTGCCCTGCCCTACAGCCTGCTGTTGGGCTTTGGGTCGCGGTTTCTCACCTACGCCCTTTTCGAGGGCGCATTCCTGTCGGCACGCGGATACGTGATTTCTACCGCCGTGCTGTGGTTCATCATGTTCATCGCCTACCGGCTCAATCGGGCACGGCTGATGATTCAGCAGTATCCCTGGATGTACGAACGCCGCTGGCTGTTTGCCTGGCGGGCGAAAACGCCGGGCGCAGCCTGATGCTTCCGGGGCGACTTCCACTACTCATGTGAACATAAGGAGAGGATGCTGATGCGCGGACTTACCGTAACCTTAATGGCCCTGTTAACGGCTTTGGCTCTGGGCGCCTCGACGGCCCAGGCGGAAATTGTGATCGCCACCGCCGGTCCCCTGACCGGCCAGTATGCCTCGTTCGGCGAGCAGATGAAGGCGGGCGCCGAGATGGCCGTCGCGGATATCAACGCCGCCGGCGGCGTGCTGGGGCAGCAATTGCGGCTGGAACTTGGCGACGACGCCTGCGACCCCTAAGCAGGCCGTGGCCGTGGCCAATCAGATGGTGAACAAGGGCGTGGTGTTCATGGCCGGGCATTTCTGCTCCGGCTCGTCCATCCCGGCTTCGGCGGTGTATGACGAGGAAGGCATCGTGCAGATTTCGCCGGCGTCGACCAATCCGAAGCTCACCGACGAAGGCGGTCCGGGTACCTATCGCGTCTGCGGTCGGGACGATCAGCAGGGCATCGTAGCGGGGAATTACATCGTAGACAATTTCCCAGGCGCCAGAATCGCCCTCCTGCACGATAAGACCGCGTACGGCAAGGGTCTGGCCGACGAAACCCGCAAGCAGTTGCAAAAACGCGGTGTCGAGGAAGCCATGTACGAGGCCTATACCGCCGGCGAGAAAGACTACGCGGCCCTGGTGTCCAAGATGAGGGCCGATAAGATTGACGTTATCTACGTCGGCGGCTACCACACCGAGGCCGGGCTGATTCTGCGTCAGGCGCGCGATCGCGGGCTGCAAGCGCAGTTGATCTCTGGCGATGCCCTGGTCACCCAGGAGTACTGGCAAATTACCGGCAGCGTCGGTGAGGGCACGCTGATGACCTTCAGCCTCGACCCGCGTAAGAATCCGACGCCGCCCCCATCGTCAAGCGTTTCCGCGACGCCGGCATCGAGCCGGAAGGCTACGTGCTGTACACGTACGGCGCCGTTCAGGCGTGGGCGCAGGCGGCTGAAAAGGCCGGCACGACGGACTTCGACAAGATGGTTGAGGCACTCAATGCCAACCAGTTCTCGACCGTGCTCGGCGATATCGGCTTCGACGACAAAGGCGACGTGACCGCGCCTGGCTACGTCTTCTACGTGTGGAGCAACGGCTCCTACGATTACGTCCAGTAGGCCCCGGCCAAGCGGGCGTTCCGGGTATCCGCTCACGGACTGTCCGGATCGCCCGCAATACCTTCCGTATCAATCACTTACCCTTCGGCGGGCAGGATTGCCGGATTTCTCCTTTCGTGCAAAGGCGACGGGTCAGCCAGCGGTTGACCGGCGCACCTTGCTGCGCTATGGTTATGGCGTTTTACGGGCCGCGCAGGCCACAATCCCTTCACAAAATTCAAGTGCGTTTGACGGAGAGAGCACGATGGTGAAAGGCTTCACATTGCCTGGGTCGCAACAGAGAGGCGCGCTCGCGGGGACGAAGATCGACGACCAGATCTTTCTCACCCGAGCCGATGAGCTCACCAAATGGGCGCAGAACTACCGGGTGGCCCGCTTGATGAAGCTCCTGGGTGTGACCTGGCTGTTCAGTTGGGCGCGGCTCTCCTCCCTGTGGCCCATGACCTTTGGCCTCGCCTGCTGCGCCATTGAAATGATGGCGACCAGCGGGCCGCGGTACGATCTGGACCGCCTCGGTGCCGGGGCGTTCCGGGCCTCGCCCCGCCAGTCGGACGTGATGATCGTCGCGGGCACCGTGACGCTAAAGATGGCCAGCCGCATCAAACGCCTGTACGCCCAGATGCCGGAACCCAAATTCGTCATTTCCATGGGCGCCTGCGCCAGCGCCGGCGGCCCCTATTGGGACCACGGCTATCATGTGCTCAAGGGAGTCGATAAGGTGGTGCCGGTGGATGTGTACATACCCGGTTGCCCGCCGCGTCCCGAGGCCCTGCTGGAGGCGTTCGTCAAGCTGCAGGACAAAATCCGCCACGGCGCCATGTACCAGATTCCCAAAGAACCCGAGAAGTTGATCCGCCCCGCTCCGCAGCTCGCCGCCAAGGCGGCAGCCAAGGCCGCTAAGGCTGCCCCTGCGAAGGCCGCCCCGAAGAAAGCTGCACCCGCAGAGGCAGCCGCTCCGGCAGCAGCGGCTGCCGCGGTGGAAGAGCTCGAGATGCCCGCCGAGTTGATGAACCGGCCGTTCAAGGAACTCAGCAAGGAAGAGCGGGTCTTGGTAGCGCGCGCCCGTTCGCGGGCCATGCGCGCCAAGGCCGGTGTGCCGGTTGCCGGCCCGGCGGAAAGCCCCGCTGCACCCGCTACCGCTCCAGCCGCGGCACCGGTTGAGGAAGAAGCCGTTGCCGCCGCCCCCGAGGCCGTGGCCGATCCGATGGCGGAAGTCCCGCCCGAACTTCTGCAAAAGCCGTTCAAGGAACTCAGCAAGGAAGAACGCGTGATTGTGGCACGCGCCCGTTCGCGGGCCGTGCGAGCCAAGTCCGGCTTGCTTGAGTCCGCGCCGGCCGCGGCCGCTCCGGCAGCCGCGGCAACGCCCGAACCCGCGGCAGAAGAGGCTCCCGCCGCTGTGGCCACTGCCGGTGTGGACGCTGACGGCGACGACCCCCATGGCGGAGGTGCCGCCGGAACTGCTCAGCCGTCCGTTCAAGGATCTGAGCAAGGAAGAACGAGTTATCGTGGCACGTGCCCGCTCCCGGGCCGTGCGCGCCAAGGCCGGAAAATCCTAGACCTTACCTCCCTAAGGACCTGATCAGCAATGACCCCTGAGGCGATTCACGACGCCCTTCAGCAGCGCTTTGGAGAGGCTGTTACGGCCTTTGAAGCCGACGCTATCGACCCGACGGTAACGGTCGAGGTGTCCGCCATCCACGACGTTGGCGCTTATCTGCGCAGCGAGCCGGGCATGATGTTCGATTCACTCATGTGTTTGAGCGGCGTGGATTATGGCGCGGAGAAGAGCAGCCTCGGTGTCGTCTATCATCTGCACTCCACCGCGCTCCGGCACACTATCACCCTGCGAGTGGATGTGCCGCGGCAAGACGGCGTAGTGCCCACGGTATGCGACATCTGGCGCACCGCCGAATGGCACGAACGGGAGGCATTCGACCTTTTCGGCATGCGTTTCGACCGGCACCCCGACCACCGCCGCATCCTGCTGCCGGATGACTGGGAAGGTCACCCGCTGCTCAAGGATTATCAGGTCCAGGAGTTTTATCAGGGCATACCCGTTCCCTACGAGGGTGACCCCGCCGGAGATCGGCATGGACGTTTATCGCTTTCAGGACCGCGAGGACCCCGCCTAAACGAAGGACTTAGCCGTGCTGCAATACTTTCGGAACATCTGGGAAGGCTTCTGGACGCCCTTGGTGGGGCTGAGCATGACGTGGCGCAAACTGTTCGTCCCGGCCGTTACCATGCAATACCCGGAGGAGCGCTGGGAACTGCCGACGAACTCCCGCATGCAACTGTTCGTGAACATGGACGACTGCATCGGCTGCCTGCAGTGCGAGCGCGTCTGCCCGGTGCAGTGCATCAGCATCGACACCGTCAAGGCGGTGCCCGACGAGGTCGAAGCGACCACCACCGGCCACAAGAAGCGCCTGCACGTCACCAAATTCGACATCGACATGGTCAAGTGCTGCTATTGTGACCTGTGCACCTTCCCCTGCCCCACCGAGTGCATTTACATGACCTCGAGCTTCGAGGATTCCTCGCCGGACCGCTATGGCCTGGTTTATCACTTCGTCAACATGACGCCGCAGCGCGCCGCCGAGTTGGAAGGAAAAGCCCGTAAATTCGACGAGGCGGAAGCAGCCAAGAAAGAGGCCAAGGCGTCCGAGAAATCCGCTACCGCAACGGCCTGATCTCGAGTAGGAAACCAACATGTCCGCAATGGCACGGCAAACCGCCGGCGATGAGTTTCGCATTAGTTATGAGCAGCAGGGCGACGATCTGGTCCTGCAGATGGGACCGCAGCATCCCAGCACGCACGGCGTGTTGCGGCTCGAAATCGTCACGGACGGGGAGTTGGTGAAGCATATTACGCCGCACATCGGCTACCTGCACCGCTGCTTCGAGAAGCACGCCGATGGCGATGACGTATCCGCAGGTGATCCCCTATGCCGACCGCATGGACTACCTGAGCGCCATGAATCAGGAGTTGGCATACGTGCTGGCGGTGGAAAAGCTCATGGGGCTCAAGGAGTTCCCGGATCGTCTGGAGTACATCCGCGTGCTCATGGCCGAGTTGCAGCGCATCGCCAGTCACTTGCTGGCTATCGGCACTTATGGTCTGGACCTGGGCGCCATGACGCCGTTCTTCTGGTGCCTCCGCGACCGCGAAAAAATCCTCGACCTGTTCGAATGGGCGAGCGGCGCACGCCTGCTATACAACTACCTGTGGATCGGCGGCGTGGCGCACGACCTGCCGGCGGGATACACCGACCGGGTGATGGAATTCGTTACCTATTTCGGGCCGCGCGTCCAGGAATTGAACGATCTGTTGTCGTCGAACAAGATCTTCATCGAGCGCGCCGCTTCGATCGGCATCCTGACGGTGGAGGACGCCATTAGTTACGGCATCGGCGGTCCGAATCTGCGCGGCAGCGGCGTCAAATGGGATCTGCGCAAGGAAGAGCCTTACGGGATTTATGAGCGCTTTGATTTCGACGTGCCGGTGGGAACGGGCGAGTTCGGCGTCCTGGGCTCGGCCTGGGATCGCTACATCGTGCGGGTGCGCGAGATGCTGGAGTCGCTGAAAATTATCCGTCAGGTCGTCGACCAAATGCCGGGCGGCGATCCCAACGAGGCCATGCCGCGGCGCATTCGCCCGGCGAAGGGCGAGGCGTATCTGCGCACCGAATCGCCGCGCGGCGAGTTGGGCTTCTACCTGGTCAGCGACGGCACCGAGAAACCGTTCCGCTGCAAGGCGCGCTCGCCGTGTTTCACCGCCATCAGCGCCCTGAACGCCATGAACCACGGCGGCATGCTGATTGCCGACGCCGTCGCGGTGGTCGGCAGTCTGGACATCGTGCTGGGCGAGATCGATCGGTAGAACAATAGGCATTCAACAGCAAAAGGCCCGGGAAGGGGAGTTCCCTTCCCGGGCCTTTTTTTGCTCCGCCGGTCGCGTACCGCGCTATTTCCCCTGCCGCCGATGGTAGTCCCTGACAGCAGCCTTCACGGCGTCCTCGGCGAGGACGGACGTATGCACCTTCTGCGGGCTCAGGCCACCGAGCGCCTCGTTCACCTCGACGCGCGTTAGCGGTATGGGTTCGTTGACGCTGCGTCCGATGAGTAGTTCAGTGGTCACCGACCCGGCAGCGATGGCTGCCGGACAGCCCATCGTCTTGAATTTGGCCTCGGTGATGCGTGCATCGACGATGCGCAGGGTGAGGTGCATGATGTCGCCGCAGGCCGGGTTGGAAACTTCCGCCGCCGCGTCGGGGTGTTCGATGGCACCGATGTTGCGGGGATTGTCGAAATGATCGTGAACCGCATCCGAGTATCGCATGCCGTGTCCTCTCTTTCCGTCCCGCATCACACGCTGCGGGCTTGTGCCACGATGTCCGGCAGGATGTCAAGGACGTAATCGACGTCGTCCGCCGTGGTGGCGCGCCCCAGGCTGAACCGCAACGCCCCGTGCAAATAGAGTCGCGGCACGCGCATGGCCCGCAGCACGTGCGACGGCTCCAGCGAGCCGGAACTGCACGCCGAACCAGTCGAAATGGCCACCCCTTGCAGATCGAGGCTCATCATCAGCGCCTCGCCCTCCGCCCCGGCAAAAGCGACGTTCGAGGTGCCCGACAGCCGCGGCGCGTCCTCGCCCTGAATGCGTACATCGCCAATGCGTTCCCGGATACCGTGTTCCAAGCGCTGCTGAAGCTGCCGCTGGCGTTCGTCCTCGGCCGCCATGTCGCCGGTAGCGATGGCGCAAGCCTTGCCCAACGCGGCGATACCGGGGACGTTCTCGGTGCCGGAACGCCGCCCGCGCTCCTGATGGCCGCCGTGCAGGAGCGGTTGCAACACCGCCGGCGAACGCTCGTACCAGCCCCCAATTCCTTTCGTGGCGTATATCTTGTGCCCGGAAAAGGAAAGAAAATCCACCCCCAGATGGTCCACCGACAGCGGCACTTTGCCGAATGCCTGAACCGCGTCGGTGTGCATCAGAATGCCGCGTTCGCGCACCAGACAGGCAATATCGGCGATGGGCTGCAACGTGCCGACTTCGTTGTTGGCAACCATGATAGATACCAGAATGGTCTGATCGGTCAGGCTGTCGCGCACCGCCTGCGGATCGACGAGCCCGCGTTCGTCCACCGGTACGTACGTGACCTCATAGCCTTGCCGTTCGAGAGCGGCGCAGGCGTCGAGGACGGCGGGATGCTCGATCTGCGAGGTGACCAGATGGCGGCCGTGCTCGCGGCGCGCCTGCGCCACGCCCTTGATGATGGTGTTGTTGGCCTCGGTGCCGCCACTGCTGAAAATGACCGACGACGCGGGCGCTCCCAGCACTTCGGCGACCGCGTCGCGGGCGTCATCGACGGCCACCCGCGCCCGCCGGCCGTAATGGTGCACGCTTGACGGGTTGCCGAAAGCCTCGCGTTGATAGGGCAGCATCGCCTCGAGCACGTCGGGCAGCACAGGCGTTGTGGCATTGTGGTCCAGATAAATGTAGCGCATGTCGTCAGCGATTCAGCTCAGCCGTTAAGGGTCTTGCCGTAGAGTTGCTACGTGTGTGGTCACGCTGCGCCCCAGGGCTTCCACGTTGTAGCCGCCTTCGAGCACGGAAATGAGGCGGTTGCCGGAACAGGCGGCGGCGATTTCCTTGACCACCTCGGTCATGCGCCGATATCCTGCCTCGCTCACTTGCATGTGGGCCAGGGGGTCGGCATAGTGGGCATCAAAACCGGCGGACACCAGCACGCAGTCGGGGCGGTATTCCAGGGCGCGCGGCAGGATGGCCTGCTCGAAGACCGTCAGGTAGGCGTCGTCGCCGGTGCCGGCTGGCAGGGGAAAATTCAGGGTGTAGCCCGCACCGCTGCCGGTACCGGTCTCGCTGCCGGCGCCGGTGCCGGGATAGAACGGATATTGATGCGTGCTGACGTACATGACGCTCGCATCGGCCTCGAAAATATGCTGCGTGCCGTTGCCGTGATGCACGTCCCAGTCGATAATCAGGATGTTGTCCAACCCGTGCCGCTTCTGCAGGTAGCGCGCCAGGATGGCGACGTTGTTGAACAGGCAGAACCCCATGGAGCGGTGCGCTTCGGCGTGATGGCCGGGCGGTCGCACGGCGCAAAACGCCTGCGACACCTCGCCGCTCACCACGGCGTCGGCGGCCGCCAGGGTGCCGGCGACCGCTTGCAGCGCAACGTCGTAGGAATCGTGGCTGACAATCGTGTCGGGATCAAGCGCGGCGCGGCCCTGTTGACTGGCTGCCTGCACCCGCTGCATCACCTCCGCCTCGTGCACCTCGGCCACCCAGGCTTGCGGATCGTCGTCCCAGTCGAGATGCACAAGCTGACGCGACTGACCGCTGGCCTCCAGAGCCTGCATGACCGCTTCGAGCCGTCCGCGTGTTCGGGATGATGCCCGCCGGGGTCGTGCTTCAGATAATCGGGATGGTAGACCAGACCGATGTCCATGATGTCCTCGGCTGTATTGGGCCATTGGGAATTACGGGGGAAACAACAATGCGGGCGAGTATACTTGCCGAGCCACCCGGCATCAACAGCCCCGCAGGGCGGGCGGCACAAGCGCCATGAAGGCGATGATTCTGGCGGCGGGTCTGGGAACGCGTCTGCAACCGCTGACTGACCAGTCGCCGAAGCCGCTATTGCCGCTCATGCTGACTCCGATGGTGGGGCATCTGCTGGCGCAACTTCGCTGTCAAGGGGTGCGCGAGGTGGTGGTCAACGGGCACCATCTTTCAGGCCGGTTGGCGGCGTGGCTTGGCGATGGTAGCCGGTGGGGCCTGCGCCTCGCGTTCGTCCACGAGCCGGAGATTCTGGGAACCGCCGGCGCGCTCAAGAACGCAGAATCGCTTTTGCGGGGGGCGCCGTTTCTGGTCATCAACGCCGACGCGCTGGCCGACATTGACCTGCAGGCCCTATGGGCATGGCATCGTGCCCGCGGGGCGCTGGTGACCATGGTCGTCAGACCCGATCCGGCGGCTCATCTCTTTGGCGCTGTGGTGGCTGATGAGCGCGACCGGGTGCGGCGGATAAACGGCCGTCCGGAGGCATGGGACGCCGGCCCAGGCGAAGAGGGAACGATTTTCACCGGCATACAAATCGTTGAGCCGCAAGTGCTCGATGCCATTCCCGCCAACCGTTTCGTGAGCACGACCGCCGACACCTATCCGCGGTTGCTGCAGGACGGTCAGTCGGTTTTTGCTTATCGCCACCGCGGCTACTGGCTGGACGTGGGGGTGCCCGAACGCTATCTGCAAGCTCACTGGGACCTGCTGGACGGCGAGTTGGGTACGTCATGGGAGGGCCGTTTGCCGGTTGGCAGCCGAGTGGTGCGCGGCGCAGGTGAACAGCCCATGAACGACGCCATTCTCAATCCGCCCGCCGTGCTGGGTGCCGACGTGACCCTTGCTGCCGGCGTGCGGGTCGGTCCGTACGCCGTGCTCGGTTCCGGGTGCCGTCTCGGGCCCAACACCGAGGTGCGGGAAAGCGTCTTGGGCGACAACGCAACCATCGGTGCCGGTACCGTCTTGCGGCGTTGTATTCTGGGACCGGATGTGCAGGTGCTGAGCGGGCAAACTCTTCAAGAGGAGCGCCTCGTATGACCACCGGCAATCCGACCTTGACGTTTGAACGGTTGCAGCCGTTCCTGCCCACCTTGCTACCCGGCTCCTCCGAGAACCCTTCCTTCACGCCCCTGACGGCCGACGCCTCGACGCGCCGCTACTACCGGCTGCGCTGGGCGGCACCCGCCACCGGCTACCCGACCAGTTGTGTGGTGATGCACTGCGACCTGTGGCCGCTGGAGGAATCGACGGACTTTCTGACCGTCGGTCGGCATCTGCGGGCCTGCGGCGTGCGTGTACCGGAGGTTTACGGCGTGCAACCCGAGGCCGGGTTGATGTGCCTGGAGGATTACGGTGATCGAAGCTTGGCTGCACAATGGCAGCATGGCGACCTGGAGGGCCGCTTGCGTTGGGGCCGACAGGCCGTGGACGAACTCGTCAAAATGCACACGCGGGGAACGCAAACAGTCGATCCCGCGTGCCCGGCTTTTCATCTGTCGTTCGACGTGGACAAGCTGACGAGTGAACTGCACTTCTTCCAAACGCATGCCGTCGTCGAGCTCTGGCAACAATTTCTGGGGCCGAACGACTGCCAAGCCTGGGACAACGCCTTCCATGCCCTGTGCGCCCCGCTTGCGGCAGCCACGCGATTCTTCTGTCACCGGGATTACCACGGCTGGAATATCATGGTGCATGACGGCTCGGTCGGGGTGCTGGATTTCCAGGATGCCCGCATGGGGCCGCAGCCTTATGACTTGGTATCGCTGCTCACCGACCGCGGCACCGCTGACGTGCTCACCGCCGACGGCACGGCGGCCTTGGTTGCTCACTACCTGGACAGGTGGCAGGCCGAAAGCGGCCAGACGGTGGACAAGGACGAATTCGCGTGGTTGTTCGACATGGCTGCCGTGCAGCGCTGCCTCAAGGCCATCGGCACGTTTGCCTCCATGCACGTCGTCCATGACTGTCCGCAGTATCTGCCCTACATCCCCCCGACGCTGGCCTATCTACGGCCCTTGATGCAGCGCTACGAGCGTTTGCAACCTCTTGCCGACCTGCTGAGACGGTTTACGCCCCTGTAGTGCGGGTCGCGGCGCCCGCGGGAGCCTGCCATGCGAATCCTACGCGCCTTGTGCGATTTCATCCTGCCGCCGCGTTGTGTGGTATGCGAGGCGAGTACGTCGGGAACAAACGATCCGTGGGTGTGCATGGGCTGTTGGACTACAGTCGAATTCGTGCGCCCCCCGGTCTGCGCGCAGTGCGGGACGCCGTTTGCCGCCCCGGTGGAGGGCATCGGCAGTGCCGCGCACCGCTGCGGCAAATGCTTGCTCAGCCCGCCGCCCTACGAGCGGGCACGGGCCGTGGGGCTGTACGAGGGCACGTTGCGGGAGGTCATCCACGCCATGAAGTATCGGCCCGTGTTCGGTCTCGTCCGGCCCTTGGCTGATTTGTTGAGCGGGCAATTCGCGGTCCATTGGGGCGGACGGATGCCCGATGCCTTGGTGCCCGTGCCGTTGCACCGGCTGCGGCTGCGCCAACGCGAGTTCGATCAGGCTCAGGCTCTGGCCAACGTCTTGGGGCAGGAAACCGGGATTCCCGTATGGGGCCAGGCGTTGATTCGGCACACGCACACCCGGTCGCAGATCGGCCTGAGCGCCACCGAACGCCGCCGCAACATTCGCGGGGCATTTCGGGTGCAACCAGACCGGTCCTGCGAGGACAGGTCGCTGTTACTGATCGATGACGTTTACACCACGGGGGCAACGGCGCAGGAGTGTGCCCGCATGTTGAGGCGAGCCGGGGCAACGCGTGTCGACGTGTACACCGTTGCCCGTGTCGGGTGAACTGTGAAAGGCAGGGTTCGATGGGTGATGTTGTTGTCGGGCGGGTCCGTCGGGCCGTCAGCGGCTGTACTTCCGTTCGCCCTTGCTGACGCGCAGACGGGCACGCCGCAGCTTGGCTTTCAGCATCGCTTTCAGGCGGGCTGTTTTGTTGCGTTTCTTCGTCGGCGTTTTCATATCATGTTCTCTCACATCCTGACGGCGTTCCATGCTGCTTAAGCCGTGGCGGTTTGAGTTTTCTCGGCCAAGCGCCGCAGCGCACGCTTGCGCCTCTTGATGTCCAGCCGGGCGCGGTCCGAGCCGTTCGCATCGCCGCTCCCCAAAGCCTCATCGCGCGTGGCCTTCAACGAGCGAATCTCTCTTTTGAGGACCGATTTGTCGCCGGAAATCTTCGCCTGTGACGCCCGCGCCGGCGTTGTCGCATCGATTCCCGAAAGTTCGGCCAGCGCCTCGACCAATTCGGCTTTGGACATGCTGCTGACACCGTCAATGCCGTCGTGCTGCATCGCTTCCTGTCGCAGCTTGACGACGGTCATTTTCTGCAGTTCCTGTAATGTCATTCCTGCAACTCCCTTGGCTCACAATTCAAAAATACCGGTTCGCACCTTCATGGGGAAGGGCGAAATGTACCATACTTCCCGCTGCCCCTCAAACCCGCACGTCGTGCGGAATTTGACGATTCCGCACGTCGTCGTGTAGGCTTCCCGTCCACAGCCGGACCCGTACGCGCCCTGGAGATGGCATGGCATTTTTCAACCTCATGCACTGGATTCACATCCTGTCCATGACCGTCGTCCTGGGCGGCTACATCTTCCTCACCGCGTTCTGGCTGCCGGTGCTCAGGCGTAGCACCGAGGACGTACACATCCGGGTGCACTTCCTGGCGCGCACGCTGCGGCCCTTCTTCACCACCGTCGTGCTGGCCCTGATGCTGCTAATCATGACGGGCGGGCTGTACCTGCTGCCGCCGGCCTACCGGGCTTTCGGCGCCGGCGACGAGCCGGCCCTAGCGACGTTTCATCTTGTCCTGATCCTCAAGCTGGCGTCCGTCTTCGTGGTGGCCTTTCTCGTGCCCATGCAACTCTTTAGCATGGCCTTCCGCCTGACCCGAATGGACGCTGGCATCTATCCCCTGGACGCCAAAAGTTCTAGTTGACAATCGCGATTACTTAGCCGCATGGCGGCATGCAGGTTGTCACATTATCCTACACGCATCATGCTCTCTGGTCCTGACCGTGGTGTTATCGACGCAGCTTTAGCGGCCGCGCTGACAAGCATGTCAGCCTGCGTCTCGTCGGGTCCACTCCCCGCCACGGGACGCTTGAGAACCTCCCGGGAGTGCTATCCCGGCTTCGAACATTGAACGCGTGCAGCTAATTTTGCGCCTGGATCGCTTCCCTGGCTTTCCTCGCTGTTTGTTGCGGGCGCGGGCTGGGTCGAGATCAGAGTACGTCTGCATAGATCGTCAGAATCCTGTCCATGCCCGGACACATTTGTACCGGGCGTACGCCGATCTGCACGACACATGTCGTTGCCGTTGACCGCGAGGTCTTTGAGCCCCAGGGGTGAGCCCCGCTCGATTTCAGCACGCAGGCGTCGGCGCACGTCCAGCAGGTCGTCAATTCCTTGGACAGCGTGGTTGGCAAGACGTTCGGCAACACGAAGATCGATCACCATGAACGCCTCGTCGCACCCCAGCCTGTGGGCAAAATGGCGCAGGCCCCCCGCCGGGGCCAGGGCATCGATCTCGAAATCGCTCCCGGCGATCAGGGCGGCGACCAAAGCGGGCCGAACGCCAATGGTGGTGGCACGCAGGGCCTCCAGGCGTTCCTGCGCCAGACCGGCAGCCCATTGCAACGGCGCCTGCTGCGCATCCGTGGATTCGTCCTCAGCTGGTTGGCAGTCAAGCCACACAGCCGCCAGCAGCACGTGTAAATCGCCGCGGTTGACCACATCGGCGCCTTGCTGGACGGCGTCGAGCCGCCGCATGCTGCATCCGAACAGGCTGGTCTCCAGCGGCGCATCCCCCTGCGATGCCCGCCGACCGGGTGTCGTGAAGGGCTGTCAGGCAGTCGATCTCAGGGAACAGATGCGGCAGCAATCCCACCTCTTGCATCAGGACAAAGCCGTGCGATGGCTTGGGCGCCTGGAAAAGCTTTTGCAACTCCATGGCAATCCGTTCGGGTGCCACGGTGTCGATCGAAGTGGCGTGCGCCGACATCGCCGAGCGCGTTTCCGGCTCGACGTGCAGCCCGAAACGGCTGGCAAATTGCACCCCGCGCAGCATGCGCAGGGGGTCTTCGGGGAAGGCCATCGAACTGACCTGACGCAGCAGGCACCGTTCCAGGTCGGCGTGCCCGCCGAATGGGTCAATGAGGCGCTCGTCAAGCAGGTCGAGCGCCATGGCGTTGATGGTGAAATCGCGGCGCTCGAGATCGGTTTCAACGGGCAGGGTATGATCGAGCGCCAGCAGACGATCGAAATCTATCGTCTTTCGGTGGCCAATGCCGGTGGAGGTTTCAACGCGAGTCAGGTCGATTTTCGATTGTTAGCCGTCCCACTCGCCGCGCTCATGAACTTTTAGCACCCCTAAGCTTTGCCGACGGCGCTGCACCCGCCCGCGGCGGCGCAACAGGCGCATCAGATCGTTTTTGTGGACCCCCCACCACCCCACACCCCCCCCCCAAAAAACCAAACACCCCCCCCACCCCCCACCACCCAACACCACCCCCCCCCCCAACCACCCCCACACCCCCAACACCCCCCACCCCACACACCCCCAACAAACCCCCAACCACCACCCCCCACAAACAAAAAAAATCCGTACACCAATAGATCAAGGTCTTTGTACGCCTTGCCCAGCAGGAAATCCCGCAGCGTGCCGCCTACACCATGTAGACGCGCCCGCCGGCTGCGCGGACGGCGTCTACGAGCGACAAAACGGCGGGGTGCAGGTCCATGATGCTGCGGTAGTCCTGTGAGGGGTATTCAGCGCGACGGGTCGAGTGTGGGAAAGCGGCGGTATGTAATCACTTTCTCGTCGGGGCTCAGCGTGCAGCGCTTCACGAGGTCCTGCATGCTCTCGTGCAACAGCCCTTGGTGGGATCGCCAGAAGCGCAGCGCCTTGCGCTTGGCTTCCAGGCGATTGCGGCCAAACGGTAAATTTCAGGACTCCTTGCGGCGGCGTAAGTGTCATAGCGCATCTCCTTGTGTGCTGCGGACACAAAAAAACCGAATCGCCCCCTCGTCTCGAAGCTTGGGGAAGGCGCTCGGTTGCTATGCACCCTTATTGAGGCAAACGGTCAGGGACGGTTCACCTCCTCCTGATTCCCCGCGCGGCACAGAGAGGTAATGACAATTTCAGATAATCGGCATGATCGAACAGGGTCGCCCGATTCCATAAACCTCTTTCATAACTGGAGTGACGTGCGGGCATCGCACATCGGCTCGTGCCGTCCGGTCGATGCCCATTTGATGGACGGGGGACTATACCCCTGTCCGAATGACCACGCAAGCCGAATGCGTTGCGGCTGGGTTACCGTAGCTATTGTCGATTGTTGCCAGAAGTCATCTCAAAATACCTTTGGCGATGACGATGAAGGCGGCAAGGTTGAGAAAGCCCGGGAAACTGGTCCCGTGCTCGCGGTGCAGTGTCACTGCTGAGATGTCCACTCCATCAATATGCCCCTGATCCGTTGTTCGGCATAGCTTGGTTACTTCATGGTCTATCTCCTCTTTCAAAGCAGACTAATTCTGACGCAAGGCCAGTAAAGAGAAGCAGATCATCCGAGTCAGAACGGGTGACAATTCTTCAATGCCCACCCGTTGTTCCCAAATTACCCCCTAAATTAGGTGGAACAATACATCGGACAGTTTTGACAAAGCAGCCGCACGAGCCCTCCAATTCTAGAGTTGTGTTAGCCAACGCAACCAAGAATGGAGGTGCTCCGTGCGACTGCTTCAGAGTGTACTTGCGACGTTACCACCCAAACCAAGAACCGCAACGAAAGTTCATTACCCATCTGCTGGGGCTTGTGCTGATGCTTCCCGGCCACGCCACGTTTCGTAATCTCAGCCGCTACAGTTCCTATCACGAACGTACGTTTGCGCGGTGGTACGACCGACCGTTTGACTTTGTCGCACTCAACAAAGCAGCGATTACCCAGGTGATTGCGCCCGACCATCAGCAGGCCCTCGTTATCGACGCCAGCTTTATCCCCAAAAGTGGCACCCACACCTATGGTCTTGAACGCTTCTGGAACAGCCGCCAGCGGCGCAGTGAAAAAGGGTCTGGAAGTCTCTGCTGTAGCCTGGCTCGACATCACCGACAGATGCGCCTATGGCCTCAGTGTCGAGCAGACACCCCCAAGCGACAAGACCTCGGAGCCACAAGGCACACGCATCGATGCCTATCTGGAGCAATTGCAGCGTGTGGTCTGTGACCATCACCTGGGTCATCTACGCTACGTGATAGCGGATGGCTATTACAGCAAACGTAAATTCCTCGATGGGGTTCGCGCCCTGGGGATGCACCAGATTGGCAAACTGCGCCGTGACGCCAATCTGCGCTATCTCTACCAAGGACCGGGGCGCTCAGGGACCGGGGCGACCCAAGACCTATGACGGTAAGGTCCAGTGGGACGACCTGTCACGCTTTGAACGGGTACAGAGCGAAGACGACGACGTGGTGCTCTACCATCAAGTCCTCAACCACGTCCATCTTCGGCGCAATCTGCGTGTGGTGCTCGTCGTCGATACCCATACCCAGCGGCGGGCGATCCTGTTCAGCAGCGATACCGACTTGGATGCGCAGACGCTTTATCGTGGATACAAAGCACGCTTCCAAATCGAGTTTCTCTTCAGGGACGCCAAGCAGTTTACGTCTCTGAGTGCCTGTCAAGCGCGCTCGCAAGCCAAGCTGCATTTTCATTTCAATGCCAGTATGAGTGCTCTGACCTTGGGCAAGCTGGAAGCACGACAGCAAAGCGGCGGTGCCCAGGCAGGGTTTTCCATGGCGAGTCTCAAACGGCGCGCCTTCAACCAACATCTGCTGGAGCGAATTTCTCGGCATTTAGCCCACGGGCATAGCCTGGAAAAATCCAGCCCCGATTACCAAGACCTTTGTAACTATGGCATCATCACTGACAGGGCGGCTTGAGGACTGTCCGAAGTATTGTCTTGTTCGAGTTGGTTTTATTGTTCCTAGTCGGCCGAGTTGTGCGAGGCGTGGAACCGGTATCTGAGCTTAACGGTGATGGTGGTCGGGGTGTCCGGTGGCGTGCGCATCTGGAGCCTGGAAAAGTACATCACGGCGGCACGGACGACGGCGATTCACCAGTTTACATTCAGCCCAAGCGACGCGCGGGTTGCCCGTTCGTTGCCGAACTCGGCGTGCAGGGCGAAGCGCTTGGTCAGCGAGACCTCCAATTTTCCTCCCCACACGGCCCGGAAATCACCTCGGTAGCCGGCTGACTCGGCGCCCACGTACGCCCATGTACGAAGACCTGCCAAATGCGTGCTCAGGCCCAGATGGGGGCGCAATCGCGCGTGGGGAGACAGCGTGTGAACCGCCAAGTCGGCCATGGCGTATCCGATAAACCTGGACTGCCACGATGTGGCGTACCCGATGCCAAAGCTTGCTGCGCTGTCGTAGACAGGCTTTCTTCTGTTTTCGACGCGAACAGCGCCGACGCGCAACCGCCAGGACATCGGATTTTCCCCGACGAGCGGTACGGGCAGTGTGTTAAGGCTGGATACACGAATGAGGTCGAGTTGATCGAGAAAAATCTCGCGCCCGTCTCCGAAAAGCCCCACTGCAACGTCCAGCAGCACCAGTTCGCTGCCTTCCATACTGTTGCGACCCAAACGTTCCAATTTGAAAGGCGACCATGTCAGTCGCAGAAAGGGGTCCTCATGTGCGGTGTCGCTGGCCACACTGACCCCAAACGCCATCGGGTCTGATGCGTCGGCAGGAGAGGGCAGGAGCGGTATGTCGGGAGTGAGCCTTGGCTGCGCCGGCAGTTGCAAACGGGCCAGCAGCGTCTTTCTCTTGAGGTGCTGGAGTGTCGATTCGTCCGTTGGCTTACGGGACATGAATCGGTATTTGTGGTAGGCAAGCAGACTGTCCAAGACGACGATCCTGCGCTCGTTACTGAGCCCCTTCAAGCGGGTGTCGAGAGAAGACTGCCCGTCTCGAAGAATGGCATTCATAGCCCCGATTTCCTGCTTTGTCAGTAGTTGTGTACCCGGTGCGCCAGTGTACGCTTGCTGGAAGGAATGAACCGAACGGCCTCCACGAGATTGCCACTCCCTGAGTGTTGCCTCGCCGCGTCGATTGCGTTCAGCCGGTGAAATAATTGAACGGGCAGGTACCACAATCGCGCTCGTTCAATGATCAGGTCGTCTACCACAAGGTCCACCAATTCCGCCAAGCGAAACGCGCAGTTCCTGGTAAGGAAATAGTAGACGAATTTCCTGCCGATGATTTCCCAGATGTGGAGAATCAGCAGGGTGCGCTGATGGTTCGACAGGTTGAGCCTATAGTCCCATATGTCGCGAAACTCCGTGTGAGAATAGACGAGGTCCTGGGTGTAGAAATAACGGTCGGAGAAGCCGGCCTCATAGCCGCCGAGAAGTCCCCGTACAACGTAGCGGAGCGCGTTTTCGTTCTCGGGAATCAAGGCGCCGTAATTGAGGGTGAGATCGAACAGTCCGTAAATCGTCGTCAGATGAATCGGTATTGAGCTTGAGAAGCGCGTGTCCGAACGTGGAGGCGGGGTTGCCCAGGTAGCCGCTGACCAGAAGCAGGCTGACGGATTTAACGCGGTCAAGAAGCGCCCAGTCTGACAGGCGCCGACATTGAGGCTCGTTCAGCACGTAGCCAGGGCAGGGGAAGTTGACGGGAAAGCCAGTAGTACCGAGCTGGAAATCGACAGCGGGGGTGTTCATCAGTATCTTGCTGCCAAGGCAGGAAGTAAGCCTCAAGCGTGGCGTGCAATTCGGCCTGCGGATTGCTTCTGCCTTCAGGCGAAAGGAAAAAGTCGTCAGTTAAAACAACGCTTTGGGGCAGGCGCCCCTCAAAATGTAAGAGCTTGAACCATATAGGATGGTGGACCAGGTCAAGACGAGCCGCGACCTGTAGTGCTTCTGTCAACGGGGAAGCGCACGCAGGGAGTGCACACGGGAGGAGCACAAAACAAAACAGCAGCGAGCCTGTTGCATAACGCCACAAGCCCACTGCTGATGGATGCACCGCAAAAAGAAAGGTTAGCCGTTATTCACGGGTGTCGTCGATTCTGTGACGCTCTCGGACTCCCCGTTGACCAGATTGTACAGAGCCTCCGCTTTGGCGAACCGGTTTTGTTCGTGGTAGTCGGGTGCCGTCACGAGTTTGGCAAAACCGGCACGGACCGCTGTAACAAAACGCTGCTGCGCCTGTCCTTCATGTCCCGCCAGAGCCGCCAGTGCATCCAGGTAGGTGCCGTGGCCGCTGGCGAGGTCCAATTCCAGTGCGTCGTACGAGTCGTGAATGAAGGCCGCCTTCTCGGCTTGCCCACCGGAACACGAATCTGGAGAGGAGATGTTGGAAGAGATGGCGGTTGTGCCGAGGTCCCAGGTGACGTTCGTTACAGCAGCAACAGCATCGCTGCGTGGCGCGATCATGCCGCCGATACCGCAGTCGGTATATATTTCTGCAAATTCCCGAGCCATGCCGATTTGCGGCAGCGCCAACATCACTACCAGAATCGGAAGGAATATCTTGAGCGTCCTGATCACCAAGTGCCTCCTCTGTTCCATTATGATTGTCGGCGGGTAGCAATACCCGAGTAAAGGAGCAGCGACTCTAAGTCACAGCTTCCGGATGCGTCAAGATTGGTACTGCAGGCCACAATGAATTCGGATAAGGAGCCTCCCATGTTCATTACCCTTCTCGTCGTCACCTTGCTCATCGCGCTGGTGACTAGCCTGCTGGTGAATCCGGCTGTTTGACAGGCTGATCCGTAAAATCCTGGACCGCGTGGTATCGGCGGAGCTGAGCGAGGCGTGGAACCGGTATCTCAGCTTTGCGGTGGTGGTAGTCGGGGTGTCCGGCGGCGTGCGCATCTGGAGCCTGGAGAAATACATCACGGCGCGCACGGACGACGGCGAACCCATCGTGCTCAACGCCGACCGCTGGATACTCGAGGTATACCGCACGCTCATCGGCACGCTGCAGAGCGTCGCCTGGATTCTGCTGGTGTTCTTCGTCTTCGCCCTCATCGCCTACGTCATCATGCGGGGCTTTGAGTTGCGGCGCCAAGGCAGGCCGCCGGAGGGCGAGGGGGCGAATTGACAGGGGCATAGGGAACACTATACTACCCGCAACGCCACACCGAGGTCGTTACCGGCCCGCCATTTACCCACTGATCGGAGGCTTTCCATGCTCGATTACGAACACAACATGGTCTTGTCGAATGCGGAATACAACGAGGTGGGAAGCGGCCCATCCGCCACGACGGGGCCGAGAAGGTCACCGGCCAGGCACGCTACGGCGCTGACATCCGGTTGCCGGGCATGCTGTACGGCAGGGTGCTGCGCAGCCCGCACGGCCACGCGCGCATCAAGTCGATCGACACCCGGCACGCCGAGGAACTACCGGGCGTGCGCGCGGTGGCGACCTCCGGCGACCTGGCGCAACCTTCCAGCCGGGTGGTCGACCTTGGCGAGGGCGTGCTGCACAACATGCGGTTCCTGAGCAACAACATCCTGGCCGCCGACAAGGCGCTGTACAAAGGGCACGCCATCGCCGCGGTGGCCGCCACCAGCCCACACATCGCCGAGCAGGCGCTGGAACTCATTCAAGTGGAATACGAAGAACTGCCCCGCGGTGCTCAGCGCCGAGGAGGCGATGAAGCCCGGCGCGCCGCTGCTGCACGAGCGCCTCGCCACCATGTCCAATCCCAATCTGCGCCCCGGCGGCACCCTGGACGACGACGACCCCACCGACGGCTCGAACCTGGCCAACCGCTTCGAGTTTCGCCTTGGCGACGTGGAGCAGGGCTTCCGCGAGGCCGACGTGATTATCGAGCACGAGACGGCGACGGCAGCCATCCACCAGGGCTACATCGAGCCGCACGCCGCCACCGCGCGATGGAACAGCGACGGCACCCTGACGTTGTGGTCCAGCAGCCAGGGGCACTTCAACGTGCGCGACCAGACGGCGCGCCTGATGGACGTGCCGGTGTCGAAGGTCAAGGCCATCCCGATGGAGATCGGCGGTGGTTTCGGCGCCAAAACGCTGGTGTATCTGGAACCGGTGGCCGCGGCGCTGGCCCGCAAGGCGGGTCATCCGGTGAAGGTGATGATGTCGCGCACCGAGGTTTTCGAGGGCACCGGCCCGACCTCCGGGACGCAAATCCAGGTGAAATTGGGCGCCACCAAGGACGGCCGCCTAGTCGCCGCCGAAGCCCACCTGACCTACGAAGCGGGCGCCTTTCCGGGATCGCCGGTGTCGCCCGCCTGCCAGTGCATGATGTCCCCCTACGACATTCCAAACGCCTGGGTCGAGGGCTTCGACGTGGTGGTCAACAAGCCCAAGTCGGCGGCCTACCGGGCGCCCGGCGTGCCGGCCGCGGCGTATGCCATGGAGACCGCCATCGACCTGCTGTGCGAAAAACTCGGCGTGGACCCGCTGGAGTTTCGCTTGCGCAACAGCGCCAAGGAGGGCACGCGGGCGCCGACCGGGCCGGTGTGGCCGCGCGTCGGGTTTGCCGAAACCGTGCAGGCGGCCAAGGATCATCCGCACTACGCCACGCCACTGGAAGGCCCGGATCGAGGTAGGGGCGTGGCCAGTGGCTTCTGGCGCAACAACACCGGGCCAGCCAGCGCGACCGCAATCATTCACAACGACGGCACCGTGAAGCTGATCGAGGGCTCGCCCCGACATCGGCGGCACGCGCACCTCGGTGTCGCAGCAGTTCGCCGAGGTGCTGGGCATTCCGGTCACGGACGTCAACCCCTCCGTCGGCGATACGGATTCGGTCGGCTTCACCTCCGTCACCGGCGGCAGCGGCGTGACTTTCAAGACGGGCTGGGCGGCTTACGAGGTGGCGCAGGAGATCAAGCGCAAAATGATCGAGCGCGCCGCCCGTATCTGGGACTGCGAGGTGGGCGAGGTTGAATACGAAAACGGCGTCCTGCAGAACGCCAAGGATCCCGAACAGCGTCTCACTTTCAAGCAACTGGCGGCGCGCCAGAACCCCACCGGCGGCCCGTTCACGGCCAGCGCCGGTGTCAACCCCGGCGGCGCCGGCCCGTCCTTGGGCACCCACATCGTGGACGTCGAGGTGGACCCGGAAACCGGCAAGGTGACCATCCTGCGCTACACCGCGGTGCAGGACGCCGGCAAGGCGATTCACCCCAGCTACGTCGAGGGGCAGATTCAGGGCGGCGTGGTGCAGGGCATCGGTTGGGCTCTCAATGAGGAATACTTCTTCAACGACAAGGGGCACATGCTGAATTCCAGCTTCCTGGACTACCGCATGCCGACCAGCCTGGACCTGCCGATGATCGACACGGTGATCGTCGAGGTCGCCAACCCGACCCATCCCTACGGCGTGCGAGGTGTTGGCGAGACGCCGATCATCCCGCCGCTGGCGGCGGTCGCCAATGCCATCTATCACGCCATCGGCGTACGCATCAACCAACTCCCCATGTCGCCGGGCCGCGTCCTGGAGACGCTGTGGGACGAGCAATCCCGCAACGGAGGGTAGAGCAGCGTGCCGGAAGTGTGGCTTCCTCCCCGCCTGCAGCGCCTGACCGGCGGGGCGCAGCGGGGTCACGGCGTCGGGCCGTAACGTGAGGCAACTGCTGGAGAGCCTGGAGCGCGCGTATCCGGGCCTCAAGGCGGAGTTGTACGACGCCGAGGAAGACATTCTGATGCCCGGCATTTCCGTCATCGTCGATGGTGAAACCAGCCAGCTCGGCTTGCTGGAGCGCGTTGGCGAGCACAGCGAGGTGCATTTTCTGCCGGCTTTGGGCGGCGGCGTGTAGCCGTTGGGCGCGCCGCCCTTTCGGATAACTTATGCCAGGCGCATCGTCGCGCCTGGCATTTTTTGGAGTGGAAATGATGGCTAACCAGGAAAAACCGTACCGCAGCCGCGCGTGGTTCGACACCCCGGAACTGTACGGCTGGCTGCGGCAGGCGGCGTTCCGAGCCGAAGGGTTCGGGGAACCGGCATACGAAGGACGCCCCCTCATCGGCATTTGCAACTCGTGGAGCGAACTGACGCACTGCAACGCCCACCTGCGGCAGTTGGCCGAGGCGGTGAAGCGCGGCGTGTGGCAGGCCGGCGGCTTTCCGCTGGAGTTCCCGGTGATGTCGCTGGGCGAGTACAACATGCGGCCCACCACCATGCTGTACCGCAACCTGATGAGCATGGACGTGGAGGAGTCCATCACCGCCAATCCGCTCGACGGTGTGGTGCTGCTCGGCGGCTGCGACAAGACGACGCCGGCCCTGCTGATGGGCGCCGCGAGCGCCGACGTGCCGGCGATCATCGTCACCGGCGGGCCGCAACTCAAGGGCAACTGGCGCGGCGAGGAACTGGGCTCGTGCACCGATTGCCGGCGGTATCACCAGGAACTGCGCGCCGAGCGGATTACCGAAGAGGACTGGGCCGAACTGCAGAGTTGCATCGTGCGCAGTCCGGGGCACTGCATGGTGATGGGCACCGCCTCAACCATGGCGGCAATCTGCGAGGCGCTGGGCATGGCGCTGCCGGGCAATGCCGCCATTCCGGCCGTTGATTCGCGCCGCCACCAGTTGTCCGAGGCGGCGGGGCGGCAAATCGTACGGCTGGTAGAGCAGGGGCTGCGGCCTTCGGACGTCATGACGCCGGTGGCCTTCGAGAACGCCATCCGCACCCTGCACGCCGTCGGCGGCTCGACCAACGCCATCGTGCACCTGGCGGCCATCGCCGGTCGGGTGGGCATCGACCTGCCGCTGAGCCGTTTCGACGAACTGTCGCGTACCACGCCGTTCATCCTCAACCTCAAGCCGTCCGGCGAGTTTCTGATGGAGGGATTTCTACTACGCCGGTGGGGTGCCCGCTCTGCTCAACGCCCTGGCGCCGTTGCTCGATCTGGAGGCGATAACCGTGACCGGCGACAGCCTGGGCGCCAACATCGCCGGGGCGCAGTCGTACAACCCGGCACTGATTCGCAGCCTGGACGAGCCGCTGGACGCCGAAGGCGGGCTGGCGGTGCTGCACGGTTCGCTGGCGCCCGACGGTGCCATCATCAAGCCCACGGCGGCCTCGCCTGAACTGCTGCGCCATCGCGGGCGGGCGTTGGTGTTCGAAGATCACGACGACATGGACCGGCGTATCGACGACCCCGACCTGGACGTGCGCCCGGACGACGTGCTGGTGATGCGCAACGCCGGGCCGCTCGGCGGGCCGGGGATGCCGGAGTGGGGGTTCCTGCCGCTGCCGAAAAAGCTGTTGCGGCAGGGCGTGCGGGACATGGTGCGCATCAGCGACGCGCGCATGAGCGGCACCGCCTTCGGCACCGTGGTGGTACACGCCACGCCGGAATCAGCGGCCGGCGGGCCGCTGGCCGCGGTGCGCAACGGCGACGTGATCGAGCTCAACGTGCCGGAACGCCGTCTGGACTTGATGGTCGAGCCGGCCGAAATCGCCCGCCGTCTGGCGGCGCAGGCTAGGCCGCCGGCACCGTACCGGCGCGGTTACGGCTGGCTGTTTACCCAGCACATCTTGCAAGCGGATAAAGGCTGCGATTTCGACTTTCTGCGCGCTGAGGCATTACACGCGGAATAACGGCCAACACTGCTATGGCAAGAGCTACGCAGCGCCCCGAAAGTGGTCATTCCGGGCTTGACCCGGAATCCAGTGAGCCACTTGCAGAATTGCGTGTACGAGTGGGATTTTCTTTCTCCGTGTCAAGCGCGGGGCAGGCTCTGGGGCTGATTGGTGGACATTGGGGCCGCTTTCTGATTCTGTTGAGTTGTCAAACAACCGAATCAGGAGGAACGACCCCAATGGCCTTACGTGAGATACTATCGAGTTACTGGTCTTGCTTTCAAGCGCTGCTGTTCCCGCAGCTTGAGGAAACGATCGGGGCGCTGGGGGAACGCCATCAGCGCTTCGTCATGGTGCTCGAATGGGTGCGGGTGGAAACGCTGCTGCCGTACCAGCACCGGCGTCGCGGCTGTCCGCCAAGTGACCGCGCGGCCTTAGCCCGCGCCTTCATCGCCAAGGCCGTCTTCGCGCTGGTTAGCACCCGGATGTTGCTTGATCGTCTGCGCCACGACAGCACCCTGCGCCGGTTGTGCGGCTGGCGTAGCGTCAAGCACATTCCGACGAGGCGACGTTTTCACGTGCCTTTGCCGAATTTGCCGACAGCGCCTTGCCGAGCCACCTGCACGAGGCGCTGATCAAACGCACCCAGGGTGAGCGTCTGGCAGGCCATATTTCACGCGATTCGACGGCGATTGAAGGGCGCGAGAGACCGACCCCGAAGGCGCCGCAGCCGGCCAAGCCGAAGCGGCGGCGCGGGCGTCCGCGCAAGGGCGAGGAGCGTCCCACGGAGCCGCGCCGTCTGGAGCGCCAGCGCAACATGACCCTGCCGGAGATGCTCGCCGACTTGCCGTACGCCTGTGACATTGGCGTCAAGCGCGACGCCAAAGGCTATCAGACGTCATGGAGCGGCTACAAGTTGCATATTGACGCGGCCGACGGCGCCATCCCGGTCAGTTGCCTGCTTACCCTCGGCGTCGCTGCACGACAGCCAAGTCGCCATCCCGCTGGCGACCCTGACGGCGGAGCGAGTCCGCAACCTGTATGACCTGATGGACAGCGCCTACGATGCCCCCGGAATCCGCGCCCACAGCCGCGCCCTGGGTCATGTTGCGATCATCGACGTCAACCCCCGCAGCGGCGCGCGCAAGCAGGCGCTGCGGCAGGAGAGGCAGCACGGCGTGCCTGTGGGTTGGTCCTGTCTGAGGAGAGACGTTACCACGAACGCTCGACCGTCGAGCGCGTCAATGGTCGCCTCAAGGATGAATTCGGAGGTCGCAGCGTGCGCGTGCGCGGCCATGCCAAGGTGCTGTGTCATCTGATGTTCGGGATTGTGGCGCTCACGGTTGATCAGTTGATGCGCTTGGTGACCTGAAGCTGGTCTCGCGGCCCCGTTTCCTCCATCCCGGCACGCGCTGCTGTCCTGTACGCAGGGGGGAGAGTTGCGTCCGCATCGCAAGACGGGAGCCAGAACTTGGCACCGCCATGGCTGAATTCGTGGCAATTGGAACCACCGACGGCAAATGATTCACCGTACGGTCTCATGACAACCGCTCCGAGGCCAAACTAGCGGAGTTTTGCAAGTGGCTCAAGTGACACCGGGATAGATTCTTGGCTTGCAGAAAACCCCTGGACTCCGGCTTTCGCCGGAGCGACGGCTCGGGACCTATCTTCCTTGCTCCATAGGCGGTCTTGGCAAGGCCAGATTCCCCAGTTCTACAGAGTCTGCATAGTCGGCAGGTCGAGCTCGGCGGTGATGCTATTGAACCAGTCGGTGACTTCCCGGTGTAGCGGGATGCCCTGGGCGCGCCGCGCCAGGGTCTCCTCGTGCTCGGAGAGGCCGGGGTAGAGGACGCGCTCGTGGCCCTCGGCGGGTTGTGCGGTGCGCAGCGTTTCGAGCATCTCGTCCGTGGTGTCCAGGTAGCGCTCGAGGTCGGTGAAGGCCTCGATGTTGTACGCCGCGAAGTGGTTCTTGGAGCCGCCAGCAGGGTCGAGCATGCTCGGCAGGGCGCCCGACAGCAGCGTCGCCAGCACCTCCGCCATCAGCGCGAAGCCGTAGCCCTTGTGCGATCCTTGTTCCCGCGTGCCGCCCAAGGGCAGTTGCAGAAACTCGCTGCGGTCATGCACCAGCGCTGCTTCGCCGATCGGACGGCCTTCCTTGTCGGCGACCCAGCCGGGCAGCAGCGGTGCTCCGACACGCATGGCGAGGCGGATTTTGTTGCCGGCGATGGCCGAGGTCGCCACGTCGAAGAGGATCGGCGCCTCATTACGGGCCGGGGCGGCGATGGCGATCGGGTTGGTGCCGATGAGCGGCCTAGAGGCAAAGGTCGGCACGACGCTGAGGCCGGCGCCGGTGAAGCAGACGCCCACCATGTTGCGCTCGGCGGCGAGCAGGGCGTGGTGGCCGATGGCGCCGAAGTGGCCGCTGTTGTGCACGTTGACCACGCCGACGCCGACCGTGCTGGCCTTGTCCATGGCCAGCCGCATGGCTCGGGGGCCGGTGATAAGGCCGAGGCGGCGTTCGCCGTCGATCACCGCCGTGCCGGGCGTTTCGCGCTCCAGCCGCCAGCCGGGCGCCGGGTTGAGCTTGCCGTCGCGGTAATCGCGCACGTAGGCGCGCAGCATGTTGGAAACGCCGTGCGTTTCGACGGCGCGCAGGTCGGTCATCACCAGCACGTCGGTGGCCTCGGCGGCTTCGTCGGGCGTGACGCCCATGCATTCAAAAACCGCCTGCACGGTCTGCCGTAGCGCCGCTTCCGGCACCCGCACGACATCGGCCTGCGGCACCTTGAATCGATCCAGAATCATTGGGTTGCTCCCTGTGGATAAGGATGTGAACAGCATGTTGAAAACCTGTGTCTAACAAACAGATTTCTCGTGCTACGTGACTTCTGGAACGTCAATCCCGGCGGCTCGTCCCGCCTTTCGGAGCGCACGATCCAGCGTGACAAGCGGCAAGCGCAAGCGTACCGCGAGTTCGAGGTACATGGCGTCATAGACGGAAAGGCTGTGGGCATGGGCGAGTTCAAGCGATGCGCCCCACGTTCGGGACATGGACACGGGATCGACCTCGATGGGTAATGCCGAAAGAGAGGCGCGAATTTGCGGCCACTCGCTCGCATGGATCCGACTCCGCCGGGTCGCAACCAGGAGGACGTTGCCGACCTCGACCGGCCAGAGAGATGGGACGAATGCCCGTGTTTCGACAAGGGATTCTCGCAACCGGTCGGTCGCTTCGGTGGCCTCGTCGGAGAAAAGCCACGCCATGGTAACCGAGCAATCCAGAACGAACGCCATCAGTGCCTGCGTCCTTCCTCGATCATCCCGCGGAGCGACAGTCCTTCCAGACGGTGCGTCTTCTGAAATGCCTTCAGACCGTCAATTGCGTCGCGCACTTTTTCAGCATCGTGGGGCTGAAACGGAATCAACTCGGCTACAGGACGATTGTGCCTGGTGATGACGAATCGTTCCCCGGCCTGTACGCGCTGGAGCAACTGTGACAACTGAGTTTTCGCTTCGAAGGCGCCGATTTCAGGCATGAATCAAGTCTCCATAATCATAGCCATGCGGCAATTCAACCAGACGCAGACTAGTCTGTGCATGCTGTTTGGTCAAGCGGTCATCACGACCGGACCGTGAGATTAGTGAGAGATGTTACACAGCCTTGAGGAATGGGCGTTGCGAGGTGCCCAAAGGGTCATTCCACGAAAGCGGCAACCCAATGGCCTTCGAACGCTGCAAAACGCTTGGACCCCGTCGCGCGCCTCAGAGTATGTAGGTCGGATTAGCCGCAGGCGTAATCCGACTTCCGCAGCGTCCGGGCTACCTGCCATGGGGGATTGCGTCTTGGACGGTGATGCGGTGGCGGGGCGTCGGGTTTTCGCAGAGGCCACTATCGTCATTGCCTGCGGTTCTGCATATATCCCACCTCAAAACCCTTCCAGTCGAGACATATCCGCGATACCGTCGGGGAGGGCCGAGATGCCTTGCAACAGGGCCAAGCGGTTGTCACGGCGGGCGGGGTCTTCGTCCATGACGAGGACGTCGAGGAAGAAGGTCGTGATGGCGGGCTCCAGTTTGCGCAGGGCGGTGATAAAGCGGCTGACGCTGGCGCTACCGTCGAGGGCAGCGGCGGCGGATTGGTAGGCGTCGCGCAGGGCCTTTTCAGCCGGCAGATCGAAGTCGTCGGGGCACAGGATCAGGGGCCCTTCAATCGCACGGGTGATACGGACGCAGCGGGAATAGGCGGCAAGCAGGGTGGGCCAGTCGTCGTCGGCAAGGGCGTCGTTCAGTTCATGGGCGGCTTGGCTGGCGGCGTAAGGGTCGTGGCCCTGGGCGGCGAGGACAGCTTTGACGACCGAGGCGGGGTAGCCGCGGTCACGCAGAACGCCTTCGAGGCGGCCGATGATGAATTGCAGGACCGCTTCCTGGGTCGCGGCGTCGCCGGAAACCGGCAGCGAGGGCGCGGCGAGGCTCAACAGGCGGCGCAGGTCGCACGAGGTGCAGTTGGTAATCAGGGTCTCGATAATGCCCAGGGCGGCGCGGCGCAGGGCAAAGGGGTCATTGGAGCCGCGCGGCGCGAGGCCGGCGGCGGCGAACAGGCCGAGCAGGCTGTCACAGCGGTCGGCGAGGGCGAGGGCAAGCCCCGCCGGGGTGGTGCTGACCTGCTGGTATTGTTCGCCCAAGGCAGCGGCGACGGCATCGGATTCGCCGCTCAAGCGGGCGTAATGGGCACCCATCGTTCCCTGCAGGGCGGTCATCTCAACCACCATGTTGGTCGCCAGATCAGCCTTGGAGAGGGCGGCGGCACGTGTGGCGGCCGCTGTATCGGATTCGCTGAGGCCCAGCAGTTGCGCCGCTTGCGGCGTGAGGCGTTCGAGGCGGTGCACCTTGTCGAGCATGGAGCCGAGATCGACCTGAAACGTCAAGGTCTGCAAGCGGGGGAGAAAATCGCCCAGCGCCTGCCGGGTATCCTTGCCGTAGAAGTATTCGGCGTCGGCAAAACGCGCCCGCAACACGTGCTCGTTGCCGGCGGTCACGGTGTCGAGGTGCTCCGCGTCGCCGTTGCGCACGCCGATAAAGTGCGGCAGCAGGCTGCCGTCTCCGGCGTATACCGGGAAGTACCGCTGGTGCTTCTTCATGACCGCCACCAGCACTTCGGGCGGCAGCGCCAGGAAGCGCGCCTCGAAGCGACCGCAGAACAGCGTCGGACGCTCGACGAGATGGGTCACTTCGTCCAGCAAATCCGGGTCCTCGTGCCATACGCCGTCGCGTTGCGCGGCCATTTCGGCGGCCTCGTCGCGGATCAACGAGCGGCGCGCCTCGGGGTTCGTGACCACGCCATTGGCCTGCATGACGGACGCATAGGCTCCGGCGTCGTCGATGACAATGGCCGGCGAGCCGTAGGGCCGCAGGCCGCGGCTGCAGCGCCCGCTGTCAATCCCCGCATAGCTGAACGGCACCTGCTGCGGGCCGTACAGGGCCAGTAGCCAGCGCAGCGGCCGGCTGTAGGCCAGATTGCTGGCGTTCCAGCGCATGCTGCGGTCGAACGTGATGCCGGCAAGGCAGCCGGGCAGCGCCTCGCTGAGAACCTCGACGGCGGCGCGGCCCGTCTCGCGCACCACGGCGGCAACGGACCGCCGGCCCTGCTCCTCGACGACCTGCAGATCGCCCACCTCGACGCCCTTGCCGCGCGCAAACCCCAGGCCAGCGGCGGTCGGCTGGCCGTCGGCGTCGAAGGCGCGGTCGGCCGGGGGGCCTTTGACAACGGTTTCCAGGTCCGTCTGTCGCGGCGCCAACCCTGATACCATCACTACCAGACGCCGCGGCGTGCCATACACCGTCAGGCTCTCATACCCCAGCCGCAACTGATCCAGCATGGCCGGGACCGCGGCTTGCAACTGCCGCATCGCCGACGACAGGTCTGCCGGCGGTAACTCCTCGCTGCCGATCTCCAGCACGAACGGACTCGCTTCGTCCGCCGGCGCAACCGCCGTGTCCTCGCCTGGCGGCGGCTCGGCGGCAGCCACCAGCCCGGCGGACGACTTGAGGAGCGGATGGCCCAGTTGCTCCCGTTGTGCCGCGTATAACGTCGAAATGTCCCGTGCCACGTTGCGCATGCGCCGGAAATAGTTCGCCCGCTCGGTCACGCCGATGGCGCCGCGCGTGTCCAGCACGTTGAACAGGTGCGAACACTTCAGGTTGTAGTCGTGCGCCGGCATTACCAAGTCCGCCTCCAGACAGCGCTTGGCCTCGCGCTCGTAGGTGTCGTACACGGCCTTGAGGGCTTCTACGTCGGCGACTTCAAAGTAATAATGACAGTGCTCGATTTCGCTACGCAGGAGGATGTCTTCGTAGGGGATGGCACGATGCGCGCGCCTATAGTGCCATCTGCCAGACGCTGTCGGCGTCCTGCAGAGCCAGCGCGATGCGGTCGAGCCGTAGTAACGCTGAACTCTCCACCGCCACAGCTGGTCGAGCGTCCTGGCCGCACGGCCTGCTGGAAATAGGTGAATTGGGTGATTTCCTGGCCGTCGAGCCACCCTTCCCGCCCGGGCCCAGGCGCCAAGGGCGGGGCTTTCCCAGTTGTCTTCGACGAAACGCACGTCGTGCTGCCGCATGTCGATGCCGATGGCCTGCAGGCTGGCGAGGTAGCGCTCCTGCGGGTCGCCGGGGTCCGGCTGCAGGATGACCTGCAATTGATGGTGCATCTGCAAGCGATTCGGATTGTCGCCGACGACGGCCGTGGCGTCGGCGCGCGATGCTGGGGCTCGACTCGTACACACCGTTCCACGAGTTCCGGCGCCGACGAGAACGCGCAGAACCGTGGCGGGGTTCATGGTGCCGGCGCCCACTTGCACGTTGTAGGGCTGCTGCAATACCAGGCATCCCTCGTGGCGCCTGTCCAGTAGGTCAAGCAGCTCGCAGAAGATGTCTGAACGCTCAGTGCGCTGTGGTCATGATGTTCCTACTGGCTCTGTGATTGTCGCGTCGGGCAGGTTTGGCAAGGCCGTTACAGCCACTGTACGGCGCCTTTGTCGATCAACTCGCGCCAGACCTCATCCGGCGTCGTGCTGAACACGGCCTCGGCGTCGGCGGGCAGGACGTGCCAGTCGCCGCGCGCCACCTCACGGTCGAGCTGCCCCGCGCCCAACCCGCATAGCCGGCGTAAACGTGCACGGACGCCGCGGAGCGGGCCCGCCCTGCGGCGCGCGTCGCAAGGAGTCACCCGGCGACTGGTGCTCTGCGGACGTAGCCGTTAGTAGATATCATCGACGAGTTCGTCTTCTGCTGCTCAGGCCGTCGCGCGCGGCTGTCGGACCTCAGGAGCATCAGCAGGCGGGTGCGTTGTACCGGCCCGCCGAGATAAACGGTGTCCATGCGCCGCTGCAAGCCCCTGATTTCGGGAAACATGGTGGCCAGCTTCACGTCCGTCGGCCGGTTGATGATCACACCCCGCGCGCCGCTTTCGCCGTAGTTGAGGAGCAGAACAACGGTCCGTGCGAAATTGGGGTCTCGGAGTTGTTTGCCGGCGACGAGAAACCTGCCCGTTGACAGGGCTGCTTGGGGTGCCGTCTGCGGTATAACGGCGGACAGGGATAGCGACAAGAGAACGAATCCCGCAACGGCGATGGTTACCGACGTTTTGAAACGGCAACTGCAGGTGCACATAGCAGCACGGCGCGTCATAATAGGGTCCTCAGTTCGGGGCAAATCAATGGTTGCGCCGGGCCAACGTAACCGACTTTCTACCCGCGTTCAAGCCCACAGACCGCATTGACCCTGCCCCCTTGCCAAAAGTATAATTCTCGGAAAATAATGCACTTAAACGGCTATTGCCAGCACCCGCTGACGCTGGGGAGAATCACTCATGACGGTCACACTTGACGACAAATACACCGCGCTCGAAGGCAGCGTTTACCTGACCGGAATTCAAGCCCTGGTGCGGCTTGCCGTTGATCAACAGCGGCGCGATACCAGGGCCGGGCTGCGAACCGGCGCCTTCATCACCGGCTACGAGGGCTCGCCGCTGGCCGGGTACGACCTGACCCTGGCGCGTGTGGGCCGACTGCTCCACGAGCATCGCATCGTCCACCAGCCGGCGGTAAACGAGGAATTGGCCGCCACCGCGGTGATGGGTAGTCAGAGCGTGCACCTGTTCCCCGGCCCGCAGGTCGACGGCGTCAACGGCATCTGGTACGGCAAAGGCCCCGGCGTCGACCGCAGCGGCGACGTGTTCAAGCACGCCAATATGGGCGGCACCGGACCCAACAGCGCGGCGCTCGTGCTGGCCGGCGACGACCACAATTGCAAAAGCTCCACGGTGCCGCACCAGAGCGATCACGCCCTGCTCGCCGCCGGCATCCCCATCTTCTACCCCGCCACCATTCAGGAATTTCTGCTCTACGGCCTGCACGCCTTCGCCCTGTCGCGCTTCAGCGGCTGCTGGGTTGCCCTGAAGCTGGTCACCAACCTGTGCGACGGCGGCAGCGTGGTGGACGTGCATCCCGACGCGCCCCGACATCGTCATCCCGGAGGTGACCATCGACGGCGAGCTCTTCCACAAGCGCCAGGACACCACCTTCCTGCCCCCCGGCACCATCGAGCTCGAACGCCACCTCTTCGTCGACCGCCACGCCGCGGTGCGCGCTTACGGAGCCGCCAACGACCTGTACGGGGCCGAAACGTATGCGGGCGACGCCCGTGTCGGGCTGATCAGCGCCGGCAAGAGCCAGGCCGACTTGCAACAGGCGCTGCTCGACATGGGGCTGGACGCTCAGACGTTGCAACGTCTGAGCATTCGCGTTCTGAATCTGGGCATGATCTATCCCCTGGCGACCGAAAGCATCCGGCGCTTTGCGCGCGGGTTGGAAGAAATCGTCGTTGTCGAAGAAAGCGCGACTTCCTCGAAAGCCAGATCCGCGACTGCCTGTACGGCATGACGTCGCCGCCGTGGCTGCTGGGCAAATATACCGACACGGGCCGGCCCTTCCTGCCCATGCACGGCGAGCTGGACGCCGACATCATCGCCGAGGCGCGTCGGGCCGCGGCTGCGGCGTTTGGGCGAAGCGCCGGGCATCGACGCGCGCCTGGCGGTGCTGGAGGCCATCCGCGGACGCCAGTACGACCCCTTCAATGGCGCGCAAGCCGAATTACTGCTCCGGCTGCCCGCACAGCACCCGTTCCACCCGCATGCTCGACGGCCAGATCACCGGCGGCGGCATCGGCTGCCACGGCATGGGCGGCTGATCGAGCAGGACATGCGCCACACCAGCTATCTGACGCAGATGGGCGGCGAGGGTCTGCCGTGGGTCGGCGCGGCGCCGTTCAGCGACACCCAGCACATCTTCCAGAACATCGGCGACGGCACGTATTTTCACTCCGGCAGCCAGGCTCTGCGCGCCTGCGTGGCAGCCGGGGTCAACATCACGTTCAAGCTCCTCTACAACGGCGCCGTGGCCATGACGGGCGGCCAGGACGCGCAGGGCAGCATGGGCATCCCGGAACTTACCCACAGCATGGCGGCGGAGGGAGTGCGAAAGATCATCGTGGTCTCCGAAGAGCCGCGGCGTTGGCGCGGCGCCCGCATGGCTCCCATCGCCACGCTGCGCGGCCGCGAGTCGTTCTTCGAGTCGCTCAAGGAGTTGGAGGCCACGCCGGGCGTGACGGTGCTGATCAACGACCAGCAGTGCGCCGCCGAGAAACGCCGCCAGCGCAAGCGCGGCATCCAGGCGGAGCCCAACGTCTTCGCGGTGATCAATGAGGAAGTCTGCGAGGGTTGCGGCAATTGCGGCGAGGTCAGCAACTGCATGTCGCTGCACCCGGTGGAGACCGAGTTGGGGCCCAAGACGCGCATCCACCAGTCATCGTGCAACAAGGATTACGCTTGCCTGGACGGCGATTGCCCGTCCTTCGTGACCGTGGAAGTCGATCCCGGCACGGGCCTGAAACCCAAACAGGCGCCCGTTCTCGAAGCGGAAACCCTGCCGGAACCGGCGCACAAGGCCGTCATCGGCGAGCGGTATGCGATTTACATTTCCCGGCGTCGGCGGCACGGGTGTGGTGACGGTGAACGCCCTGTTGTGCTACGCGGCGCTGATGGAAGGCAAGTCGCTGCTCAACCTGGACCAGACCGGCCTTGCCCAAAAGGGCGGCGCCGTGCTGTCGAACGTCATCCTCAGCGAGGACGCCGCGGTAGCCTCGAACAAGGTGGGTCTGGGCACTGCGGATCTGTACCTGGTGCTGGATGCCCTCGGCGGCGTTGACCCGGTCAACCTCGACCGCGCCCACGCCGGGCGCACGGTCGCCGTCGTCAACACCACGGCGAGCCCGACCGGCGAGATGATCCGCAACAACGCGCTGCTGTTTCCCAGCGAGGCGTCCATCCGGCGCACCATCGACCAGCACAGCGACGCCGGCCGCAACCTCTACGCCGACGCCGGCACCCTCGCCGAGGGGCTGTTCGGGGACCACATGGCGACCAATCTGTTCGTGCTCGGCATGGCCTATCAGGTCGGCGCCGTGCCCCTCAAGGCCGAAAGCATCGAGGCCGCTGTCGCGTTGAACGGCGTGGCGGTGCAGCAGAATCAGCAAGCATTCCGCTATGGCCGCCTGTATGTCTGCGAGCCGCAAGCCGTGGGCGAATTGGCGGTCCAGCAGCCGCGTGACGCCGCTGCGGAGCGGGCGAACATGCTGGATTACCTGCAACGCGAAGGCACGGCGGCCGATGTCGATACCTATGAGCGCCTATTGGAGCGCTGCGCGCATCTGGATGAGGAGGCACGGCGCCTGCTGGCGCGGCGGGTCGGCGAGTTGATTGATTATCAGGACGCCGCCTACGCGACGACGTACGTGGACTTCGTCCTGGCCGTCAGCGCGCGGGAAGCGGCGGCCTGCGCCGGAAGCGTTGAGTTGACCCACGCCGTCATCCGGCACCTCTACAAACTTATGGCCTACAAGGACGAATACGAGGTGGCGCGGCTGCACCTGAAGCAGGCGTGGAAGGCCCAACTCGGCACCATGTTCGCGTCACCGCAGCGCGCCTACTACCACCTGCACCCACCGCTGCTGCGCTCCATGGGCCTCAAGCGCAAGCTGAAGCTGGGCCCCTGGTTCGACATGCCCATGCGGCAACTGCGGCGGCTCAAACGCCTGCGCGGCCGCTGGTGCGACCCGTTCGGCTATGCCACCATGCGCCGCGAAGAACGACGGCTCATCACCTGGTACCGCGAGACGATTAACTCCCTCCTGTCCCAGATCGACTCCGGCAACCACGCCCTCGCCGTCGTCATCGCCAATGCCCCCGAGGCGATTCGCGGCTACGAGGACATCAAGATGCAGCGCCTGGCGGAGACCAAAGAACTGGTCGCCCAGCACCTGAACCGCTTCGCACCGACGCCGGACGCCGAGGCGGTCGGCTCGTCGCCGGCGTCGTGAGGATCATATGGGAGCCGTACACGTCACCGTTACCATCCGAAACCCGGCCGAGCCGCACCGCACTTGGGAAGGACTGTTTCTGGTGGACACCGGCGCCACCGATTCCCTTGTTCCCGGGCCGCACCTGGAGGCCATCGGTCTCGCCCCCAAAGGCCAGCGGATCTACGAATTGGCCGATGGTCGCGAGATCAAAATGGACATCACGACCGCCGACATCGAATTCATGGGTGAGATTGTCGGCGGAACGATCCTGTTCGGGGAGGCTGATGTCGAGCCGCTGTTGGGGGTGACGGCTCTGGAGTCGGTGGGGATTGAAGTGGATCCGAGCAACCAGCGGCTGAAAAGACTGCCGGCTGTTCGTCTCAAGAGCCATTGGAAGAAGGCAGGGGATTGAAGAGGGGGATTACATACCTAAGTGCCGAATCCCCCTTGGAAGTGACGGATCGGCACCTCCTCATTTCAAGGATTCTGATCTACCGGGCGTCGCCCCACACGTCCTGCGCCACCTGCACGACGAGTTCGAGTTTGGCGCGTTGCTGTTCGAGACTCAGCAAATTCCCTTCTTCAGTTGAGGCAAAGCCACACTGCGGACTCAAGGCAAGCTGGTCCAAGGACACATATCTCAAGGCCTCATCAATCCGGCGTTTCAAGATGTCTGGGTTTTCGAGATCGCCGGTTTTCGAAGTCACAAGCCCCAGCACGACCATTTTGTCGCGCGGTAGAAAGCGCAAGGGTTCAAAGCCACCCGCGCGCGCCGTGTCGTACTCCATAAAATACACGTCGACGTCGATGGCATTGAACAAGAGGTCGGCGACTGGCTCGTAGCCGCCTTCGGCGATCCACGACGACTGGAAGTTACCGCGACACAGATGCATCGCTAAGGTCATGTCGGAGGAGCGCTCGGCAATAGCCAAATTGATGAGCTTTGCATAGGTTTGGGCCAGGTGGTCCGGGTCTTCGCTGCGCGACCGCAGCTCCTCGTGTTGCTTGGGGTCACACAGATAGGCCAGATACACTTCATCGAGTTGGAGGTAGGTGCAGCCGGCTCTGGCAAAGGCGGCAATGGCTTTCTGATACGTGAGACCCAGATCATGGAAAAACCATCCATATCGGGATAGACGTCAACTGAGATCGCCTGGCGCCCGCCCCGATAATGCAAGGCGGTCGGTGAGGGAAGCGATTGCTTTGGCGTCACCTGGGCGTGCTGTTTCAAAAAGGTGAAATGGTCCACCATGTGATCGGCGGCGTAGTCGAGTTGACCTGTGACGGCTGGCGCGACGGGTTTGAGTTGGGCGGAGCCGCTGAACTGAACCGCTGACTCGATCTCGACCATCTCCACCCCATCCAGTCCGGCCAGGAAATCATAATGCCAAAAGGCGCGGCGATACTCGCCATCGGTCGCCACTTTTAATCCGACGTCTTCTGAGCCACTTGCAGAATTGCGTGTACGAGTGGGATTTTCTTTCTCCGTGTCAAGCACGGGGCAGGCTCTGGGGCTGATTGGTGGACATTGGGGCCGCTTTCTGATTCTGTTGAGTTGTCAAACAACCGAATCAGGAGGAACGACCCCAATGGCCTTACGTGAGATACTATCGAGTTACTGGTCTTGCTTTCAAGCGCTGCTGTTCCCGCAGCTTGAGGAAACGATCGGGGCGCTGGGGGAACGCCATCAGCGCTTCGTCATGGTGCTCGAATGGGTGCGGGTGGAAACGCTGCTGCCGTACCAGCACCGGCGTCGCGGCTGTCCGCCAAGTGACCGCGCGGCCTTAGCCCGCGCCTTCATCGCCAAGGCCGTCTTCGCGCTGGTTAGCACCCGGATGTTGCTTGATCGTCTGCGCCACGACAGCACCCTGCGCCGGTTGTGCGGCTGGCGTAGCGTCAAGCACATTCCGAGCGAGGCGACGTTTTCACGTGCCTTTGCCGAATTTGCCGACAGCGCCTTGCCGAGCCACCTGCACGAGGCGCTGATCAAACGCACCCAGGGTGAGCGTCTGGCAGGCCATATTTCACGCGATTCGACGGCGATTGAAGGGCGCGAGAGACCGACCCCGAAGGCGCCGCAGCCGGCCAAGCCGAAGCGGCGGCGCGGGCGTCCGCGCAAGGGCGAGGAGCGCCCCACGGAGCCGCGCCGTCTGGAGCGCCAGCGCAACATGACCCTGCCGGAGATGCTCGCCGACTTGCCGTACGCCTGTGACATTGGCGTCAAGCGCGACGCCAAGGGCTATCAGACGTCATGGAGCGGCTACAAGTTGCATATTGACGCGGCCGACGGCGCCATCCCGGTCAGTTGCCTGCTTACCTCGGCGTCGCTGCACGACAGCCAAGTCGCCATCCCGCTGGCGACCCTGACGGCGGAGCGAGTCCGCAACCTGTATGACCTGATGGACAGCGCCTACGATGCCCCGGAAATCCGCGCCCACAGCCGCGCCCTGGGTCATGTTGCGATCATCGACGTCAACCCCCGCAGCGGCGCGCGCAAGCAGGCGCTGCGGCAGGAGAGGCAGGCACGGCGTGCCTGTGGGTTGGTCCTGTCTGAGGAGAGACGTTACCACGAACGCTCGACCGTCGAGCGCGTCAATGGTCGCCTCAAGGATGAATTCGGAGGTCGCAGCGTGCGCGTGCGCGGCCATGCCAAGGTGCTGTGTCATCTGATGTTCGGGATTGTGGCGCTCACGGTTGATCAGTTGATGCGCTTGGTGACCTGAAGCTGGTCTCGCGGCCCCGTTTCCTCCATCCCGGCACGCGCTGCTGTCCTGTACGCAGGGGGGAGAGTTGCGTCCGCATCGCAAGACGGGAGCCGGAACTCGGCACCGCCATGGCTGAATTCGTGGCAATTGGAACCACCGACGGCAAATGATTCACCGTACGGTCTCATGACAACC